CAAGAAGTTCACGTGGAACAACGCGGCGGAAGAGTCATTCCAGAGAAAAAAGAAAGAGTTGTGCGAAGCACCAGTGCTAGGGATGCCAACGGAAAAAGGGATGTACGTGCTGGACACGGATGCGTTGGTAGTCGCGATTTCTGGCATCCTCCATCAAGAACAGGAATCGAACGGGAAGACAGTCTTGAGACCAATAGCGTACGGGAGTAAAGTCTTGAGTGATACGGAAATGAAGTACGGGGCGCCGAAAGCAGAGATGTTCGCGGTGGTTACCTTTGTCGAGAATTATAGAGCATACCTAGGCAGTGAGCCATTCGAGCTGCGAGTCGACAACAGGGCACTCAGCTGGCTGAAGACGTACTCAATGGACCAGAGCTACATTGGGAGGTGGATAGTTCGCCTGGACGGATACGACATGATAATTGAGCATATAACAAGAGAGAAACATCAAAATGCCGATAGCTTGAGTAAGAAGACGGAGTTCTACGAGAGACAAGATCAGAGGGAGGCGGATAGGCCGGAAATCAAAGATGGCTTCTCCTTCATGGATAAGGAAACGTATGATAGTCTTCCACTCACGAGATGGCTCGACAAGTCAAGCAAACCGATAGAAGATCACCCCGAACTACCAAAGGAGCCTCCAGAGAAAACAATCTTGGAAAAAAACCCGGGGGATACCGATAGGGATAATGCTCAAATCAAAAATTGTGAGGGAGACGCTCAAGGCAAAAGGCTATGATCTCAACGAGGTAGAAACGGGAGATGCACAGATAGATGAAGACTTGATGAGATTACTCGAGAAACTGGCAGACGATAAACCCGTGGTCAAAGAAAAAGGCATGGAGGAACCGGAAGTCACGATATTGAGAAGGAATGAAACTGGTGGTAGCGAGGACTCCTTAAAAGAAAAATCGGACGGGAAAGAAGTCGTACAGTCATTGGTTGATAAAATTCCTGATGACATACTTGAGCGGACCCGGGTTAGGAAGAAGTAAGTGGCATTTAGGGAGGAGGCTGAACACCTTAGACTAGAACAAGAGTCCGGGGAGTGGCCCACAGTGGAAGAAGATGCTGAAGAAGAAAAATTGTCCGGGGATGAAGAGTAGGATGAAGATTCGGAGAAGAGCAGCGATGACCAAGATAGTCTATGCATGATACTGGCGGAAGAGAAGATGAGACACCGCGACAGGGAGCTACAGACGGATCCCTCCTCAGGAACGTACAACTTGGATCAGCAGGAAGTGCGAGGAGGTGAAGAACTTGAGAAAATTGCAATGTCGAGGAAACCATTTAGGGAGCTATCGTGCAACTCTTATGTCAGAACAAATCTGGTGCCAGAAGATGACAGGAAGATCATAAGGAGGATAGTATGCGTAAAGCTGAAGGATGACATCCTCAATCCTGGGGAAATGAATGGTCAGATAATGGCACTAAAAGAGCACGTCAAGGCAAGATATAGGCTGTCGGATCTAATACGGGCCCAAAAGAATGACAAGATGACAAGTAACCTCTCCACATGGATCCGGACGGGGTCCAAAGAGAAGGGGGACGTAGAAAAAGACAGCTACAAGATCCTATGCCAGTTCTACAAAGACAGAAAAGATTTACTCTATCACACAGCTGATGGGGTGGTGGCATGCAAGAGAAAAGATGAGGAGAAGATATTACACAAGCACAACCTCATCATACTGCCACAGTTGTATCAGACGGAAGTGTTATTTAGATCGCATGATCAAATGGGGCACCATGGGATAGACAAGGTGCAACAAAGAATACTTCATAGGTTTGACTGGCCAGGATTAAGGAAAGCTTGCGAGAGATAGGTGAATGCATGCCTGGCATGCCTGCAAGTGAAAGACCCAATGAAGATGAAGTTCCCACTCATGTCCGTTGAAAGCTCGGAATTTAACGAGATTGTGCAGATAGACCATCAGAAGATCTGTATGACAGAATCGGGATATAACCAGATACTGGTCATAATAGATCATTTCACAAAATTGGCAGAAGCGGTGTCGTGTCAGACAGCCTCGGCAGAAGAGAGTTGTGACCACCTGATAACACATTGGATATCACGGTATGGTTGCCCCATGACATTTCAGTCGGACAACGGCAAAGTTTTCGTGGGGGCCTGACAGAAGAATTGATGAAGAGGTCACACATTGCTCAAGCGCACTCCACAACGTACCATCCCCAAACCAACGGGTTAGTGGAGAGACAGAATAGAACATTGGTAAACATGCTGAGCTTATACTGCTCAAGATATATGACAGACTGGGACAAATATCTGGCGCAAGTGGTAGGGGCATACAACAGTACGCAACACTCAACAACAGGAATCAGTCCCTTCATGATGTTGACGGGCAGGGAAAAAGCGATGCCTCTAACATTCTTTTACCCAGAATACGAAGGGAAAAATACATCGCCTCGAGCTTATGTGAAAGAAGCAGTTAAGAGACAGCAAGAACTAAACGAGCTCTGCAGGAGGAACACAGCGCAAGTGCAAATGAGACAGCGGAAGAAACACGATGAGAAAATACTGCAAGCGAAACCATATGCAGTGGGCCAATACGTCTGGGTCTTCCAGAATGTTATACCCCCCAAAGGGACAAAGAAACTACTTGAGAAATGGAGAGGACCGTTCATGATAACGGAAGTGCACCAGCAAGGACGGTTTTACCGCTTGAGTACGGGGCGTGCCGCGCATTTTGAAAACTTGAAACCTCATGTCCCCTTCCCAGAAGACTGGTGTGTACCACAGAATATGGAGGTACTCGAGTACCTATTGGTGGAACCAGCTTGCGAGTTGAACGAAAAGGGCACCAGAGAGAAAAATGATGGCAACGAGGACTTGAGTCTGGATGATAATGAAAAGATAGAAGCGGACTCAGAGGCGGAATCCTTTGTGGAAGAAGACTGGAACGATCCGGAGCAGGAAGAGGTGCCAAATACTTGGGGAGGATGGTGGACAGGCATGGCATCAGACCAGACCCAGATGCATTAGAAGCGGTTCTGACTTGGAAATCGCCAAAGACGGAACATCAACTGATGAGCTTCCTGGGTTTCGCGAACTATTACAGGGAGTTCATCAAGGGCTACGCGAACAAGGTATACCCGATGCAACAACTAAGGAGACACAAAGGCAAGAAGTTCACGTGGAACAACGCGGCGGAAGAGTCATTCCAGAGAAAAAAGAAAGAGTTGTGCGAAGCACCAGTGCTAGGGATGCCAACGGAAAAAGGGATGTACGTTCTGGACACGGATGCGTTGGTAGTCGCGATTTCTGGCATCCTCCATCAAGAACAGGAATCGAACGGGAAGACAGTCTTGAGACCAATAGCGTACGGGAGTAAAGTCTTGAGTGATACGGAAATGAAGTACGGGGCGACGAAAGCAGAGATGTTCGCGGTGGTTACCTTTGTCGAGAATTATAGAGCATACCTAGACAGTGAGCCATTCGAGCTGCGAGTCGACAACAGGGCACTCAGCTGGCTGAAGACGTACTCAATGGACCAGAGCTACATTGGGAGGTGGATAGTTCGCCTGGACGGATACGACATGATAATTGAGCATATAACAAGAGAGAAACATCAAAATGCCGATAGCTTGAGTAAGAAGACGGAGTTCTACGAGAGACAAGATCAGAGGGAGGCGGATAGGCCGGAAATCAAAGATGGCTTCTCCTTCATGGATAAGGAAACGTATGATAGTGAAATGGGCGGAACCAGACTTGCCGATAACAGCAGGAACCAGGAGTGGTAATCGTAAACGGACGGGCATGAGGTACAATAGGTACGGGGATGACTTCTTGATTGACAAGATACGGCCTGATGAGTTGAGCGATGAGTTGCTGAGTGTGGGCGAATTGGTGGCAGACGATGAATGGCAAATCATCAACGACAGCGAACACTACCCGAAGGAAGACTACTCCACACCAGAATAAGAAACAGATCTGGAGCAGAGCGAGATAGAGAGAAGGGAGAATACAAACTTGAGAATACTTGAGATGCGCGATGTCAAAAGCAAAGGAGATGAAGGGCAAAGCATCCAGCAGGTCGACGTGTCAGCAGAACAACACGTGAAAACGGAAGATCCCCTCTACGGTTGGACGGCAAACGACAGGCCGCTCGAAATACCACTAGATAATTTAGACCCAGCATCATCGACGGGGACGTCGATAAATATTTTTGTCCGGGGAGTGGGGGTAGGACTTACCCACACCGAAAATTTGATGATAAAGAAACTCAGAGAAGTAAGAGAGACCAACGGGCTAGAACTGGGCGAGGAAGAAGCCGAGCCTACCATAGGACGAAATTTCAAAACGAAATTTGAAATTTCTAAAGAATACTCGGAGATTATCCTGATAACGGACAGCGACTTCATTCTGTCAGACAGGACTAGCGCGATCTGTATAACGGCGGATATGAGCTTCAAATCGAGACTGGAGGCCGACTTCAAGAGAGAATACCAGAACGTGAAGTTTTTATTCAGACAGAGACCGGGGCTGGGAGGAATGGCTGCGCTTCTACCATCAGTGGCACAAGTCCCAGGCAAATACCTGTGCTTTCTAGTGACGAGGGTCAATGAAAGGAATACGGTAGATCCTGAGCACGTGATGTTAGCACTAACGAGGCTGAGAGATTTCATGATTGAAAGAGGGATAGTGGAGGTCTCGATGCCTGTTTATGACCTAAACAGGGGCAAGTTGAGCCCAAGAGAGTTGTATGCCATCCTACACGTGGTCTTCGCAGAAACAGAGATAATGGTACACCTACACTGGAAATACTATTTGAGTATCGCCTGAGCTACGGGTGGTCAACGGAGGACTTGACTTGGGAGTACATGGTGATCTCGAGTAAGGGTACATGGCGACCTCGAAGCAGATAGATGGATTTTAACGTAATTGGCATGACAATTATAATTTGAAGAGTGACGGTGCTAAAACATAAAATAAATCTGCATGCTCTTAAAAAAAACTTCCAATTGAATTATTTTACTAAAACAAATGGAGGGATAAGGTTTTAACTACAATAATGGGGGGGTTTAAGGTTAGGAACATAGCACCTTAGTCTAAAAAGTGGATTTTACTTTCAGATTGATTTGTTAAATCGAGTTGACGACCCAAACACTCATTGGAAAGAGAATAGAAGGTCTTGAACAAAGTTCACGATCAGCAACATTCGGAAGAGATATTTCTCAAGTACTCAAGTTGGTACGTTATTCCTCAAGTTGGTACGGTAACAGTCAAGTTGGTACGGTAATTCTCAAGTTGGTACGGTAATTCTCAAGTTGGTACGTTAATTCTCAAGTTGGTACGGTAACACTCAAGTTGGTACGGTAATTCTCAAGTTGGTACGGTAATTCTCAAGTTGGTACGGTAATTCTCAAGCTCTTACGGTAATTCTCAAGTTGGTTAGTGAGATAATCTAAAAATTGTAAAAATGGCAGATCGATTTTGGAAATCCATGCCTGCGGCGCTAAAGAGGCCTACGCTCGATGAGTTGTACAGACGCTTGAGGGACCTGGACTACACCCAAGTGGACGAGAGGATGGCAGTGCTGTTGAACGCCATCCTGCAATTAGAGGAGCAAGGTGAGTGCAGGGAGTCCGCAACCGAAGCTGTCGTGATGGTCGGCTACACCACAGAAGGCATATCCAATCAAGAACAAACCAGGTGGCTATCCTGGAATGTGGATGGAGGGGTGAGAGGGTTCGACTTGGCGAGGAATCCTGGCTTAAGCAACAACACTGAGTACGGCGCGGGAGAATTCCCATTGCCGACCAGACCATCAGCAAGATCCGCGAGCCAGTCCACAAGCAAGCCACCTTCAATCACGAGAGCCCAGCAAACGGAAAAGACGTATCCTGACCTCAGCAACTTGAAGAGGGCGCAGAGGGAGAATAATAAAGCGAATCTTGAACGGGAGAGCGCGAAGCTCGAGAGAAATCAAGCGAATCTGGAGAGGGACCAGGCGATCCTTGAGAGGGACCAGGCGCGTCGTGACCTTGATATGTTGAGAGCAGAATACCAGCAAGAACAGAGGGTGCGAGAGAACGCGGCGAATTGTGAGCAGTTGAAGTCGGAACTTGAAAGGATCCAGCGGAGACAACGAGAGCTCGACAGGCAAAAGGAAGAGGAAACCAGGACGATGTCGCGTATGGAGGTGGATGAGGCTCACAGATCGAAGGGACGATTCAACTTAGACCGCGCGGCTCAAAAACACATAAACGAGGGACTGGAAGTATGGATACCAACCGAATCAGCGTCCTCCCTGCGCTGTTTGGAGACGCAACCGATACGCTCATTGATGGACGTGGTGGGTGCAGTTCACCTGATTGTAGGGGACAGCCTGGTACGGGTGCTGACCCGAATCCAGTCGCACTGGCAGACTGGAGTCTTGAGTTTCTCTGGAGCCGCAATGCCGCAGATGTTGGCATCACTTGAGATGCTAGGGATGGCAAGAATGTACACAGTGACTCTAATGTTGGGGACGAATGACGTGTCCAGAGGGGAATCGAGGAAAGTCATGAGGCTACATGATAAAGTGAGCTGCATCCTGGAGGAGCTGCGGATTCAGATGGATCCCGCCATACTCACAGTTTGCACCACCCCTTACAACATGAAGGCCGACCAACACGCGATAGAAATGAACGAGAAAGTGCGGAACCTGAACGAGATAATTAGGCAGATACATCAAAGGAGTGTCCTTCCCGTCAGATTGCTGGACGTAGCCGACCAGATGGAGCGATCCTTCCCGGAGGATGCGTCCTCAGACGGAATCCATTTCGACAGACCTAGGGGTGTGGAGTGGTTGAATGACGTTTTCCAGAGGCACATAAGTGAGTTGGAGGCAGATCTGCTTGAGACGGCCCAATTCACATTCGGTCCACCCCCAAATCCCCCTTTCCTTGCCACAAGACCCCTGTCCAGTCGCCTGGGAGCGAGAGTCGACTCAAGAGACAGCTCGAGGAGCAGCTGGACTAGATTACCGGGTTCCACGCCAATGGGAGCCGAGGAAGCGGAGTCATCAACGCCCCAAAGTTCAGTGGTGTCCTCAGTGGTAGTGGTAGACAACAAGAGAGTGGAGAGACCAGCGGAGGCAAGCCGAGCGCGATATCTGGAGAAAGTAAAGGAATTGGACCTGGAGGATCTGGAGTGCAGACAGGAGTTGGCGGAAGTCCTGGGGCTCAAGCACATGTCACACGAGGATTTGAGTCGACGCAAGTGCGTAGACTGGCTAAAGGCCCACAAAACGCATTTCTCGAGAGCAAGAATGGTGGAGACGGCTGATTTCAGGCTGGTTAAAAAGTTGAAATTTGTCTAGAGAAAAAAAAACATCTCGAGCAAAAATCGAAACAAAAAATTGGGTGCTGAAAAATGTATTGGGCTATTTCAAAGTTTCGTTTTTAGCATGTTTAAGGGAGTTTGTGTATAATACAATTTTTTACCCTTTGAATAAGCAAGATTATTGCAATTTGGTACTTGTCAAATGTCCTTGAACTTGGACTCACTCATATGCTTCCTTTATTATGAGTTTAATCAACCATTCGGCGAATCTGGCCGTCAGGTAACACTTGTGGTTCCAATCCGAACGGGACCCGATTTTTGCAAACCTGAGTTTTTGTGGTTTTTTGGACTATTGTGCGTCTTTATTTTTGTCGGCTTAGTTCCCGTAGCCCGATTGAATGCTCGTCTGCCTGCTTGTCTGTGCCTGCCTAGTTCCCGCAGAAAGGTATTTTTGAAAATTCGGCTTCTCTCTAGCATTTTGAAAGCTCCTTGAAAGTTTCCAATGTTGCAGGTAATTTTTTTCGGACCTTTTGGCCTTTCTCGCAATTTTTATAAGTTTTAATTAAAAGAAAACGATGTTTTGTGAAGTTTTTTTTTCAAGTTATGATTTTTTTTCATTTGATGTCATTCTCAGTCTTTCACCTTTGTATCGCAAATAATGAAAAGCTCAGCTTCGCCTCTGTGCAATGATACATTCTTTCCAATTTAGTTTTCATTCAGCGTAAAATTTAGAACATTTACAACAAAATGAAGTCTAATTGCGAGAACCCCGTGGACTTTTGCTGCCTGTTTTCAGGCGCTTTTTTTGTGTATTTAATCAAGGGCCTCTCTCGCTGTGTTTCATTTCTTAGTTTTATTCGACTTTTTATTGGGCATATACAAACGTTCAAGTTTATCTAGATTTCTAAATTCTAGAGTTCTTTATGAATAGTGCAACTGTAAAACGTTCTGTTAAATCAAACGGCTTTTAGTTGATATGTTTTTGGTCTCTTTGAGTTCGGTGAAACTTTTTTAAATGTTGGTAATTTTTATTTCTTCTAAGCTTAACTTAAATCTAATTCTTTATTTTGGAAAATCGGTTGTATTTAAATGAGTTTTAGATTCTTTTTTATTTCAGTCAGCACGATAATCCCAACAACGAGGCATCAGGAGCTTCAAGTTTGCCACGACGAGTAGATGAAGAGAGTCCAGTTAATTCGACGATAGAAATGTCTGATTGCAATTCACAAAATCATGTCTCGCATGTCTAGTCAATCAGTTTATTTTTTGGTGCTAATTTCACTATTTTTTCTTATAATTTGTTGTTTTAAAGTTGATTCAATGCCTTCTTCGTTCCTCGACCGTTATTTGACTACTAGTTTTATGGGTCATTTTGGTGAGTTTACCTGAAGTACAGAAAAGGGTTGTAAGAAAGAAAAAAGGCAAAAATGCCCTACATTTGCTAAAAAGTATTCAAGACATGCTGGTTTCATTGCGCAAAAAAACTAATCGAATTAAAGTGGATGAACCAAAATAATCATTCCTGTGGTTTAATAATTTTTTGAGGTTTTCGAAGTGACTTATTTTCGAGTTGCTATCTTTGTTTTAAAACATTTTTTTTAGCTAATAAATTTGATGAAAACAATAGTTTCGTAGTTTGTTTTAAAATTCAGAAGGGTTTGCAGAAATTAATAAAAATTAACAACTAGAAACCCAATTTATGATTTTAGGTTTTTGTAATGGCAGATGCTAAATCTGTAGCGCTATTTGACTCTGTTAAATCGTTGGGCGATAATCCCTATTTCGGAGCTGGAGCCGGACTCTTTGGAATTGGAGTTCTGGCAACGCTGGCTCGTAAGGGAGGCTCCTACGCCCAACTGTTAGCCAGACGGAACTTTCTGATGTCCCTAGAGGTTAATAGCAAGGATCACTGCTACCACTGGCTGCTCAAATGGCTCGGTGAAAAGGCTCACAACCGAAACCACACGAGCGTCAACACAATTTTTCTACAGGTTGCTTAGAAGATTAGTTGGCAGAAAGTTACTTTAGAAAAAAAAGTTCAATGAATTACGAAAGTTCATAACGTAATGAAAGTTGCTAAACTGTAATTGGCTCCCGATTGATTTTACACAGATGATTTTTTTTACGGAAAAGGTTCATTCTGCTGGACTGGTTTCGGCCTTTGTTATATCAGCTCAGGCGCCTTATTTTGCGTAATTTGAAGGAAGAAAATAAAACTTTCATGTTTGGTGTTTTGAAGAACTTAATGGTTTTTCCTGATTACCATTACAATAAATAATGCAATTGCAACTTGGTACTTTTTTGCGTAAACATTTTTTTGTTCACAGGATGACTTAACTGGAAATGGTGATCATCTCTAATCTCTTTTGGCTAGTATTTTGTATAGTCTTAGTGGCGTTATATTGCGTCGTTCGTTGAGAGAAAAACGTTTCGTATCTTTCGGGTGTGTTTGAGTAAGTGATATGAAGAAAGTCAAAAAACAGATAAACAGATCCAGTTTTTTTTTTTACTTTGCTATCGTTGTTTTTTTTTTCTGTCGGCAAATTCGTCACGCTATGTTTGTATCGCAACTGGGGCTAAGCTCGTGTTCGCCTCTTGAATTTCAACCTGAAAAAATGTGCAGAAAAAATAACAGTTTGCTTACCTGTCTCATTGCAAATTTCGAGGCTTTATGTATTTGCATGCAGTGGCGTATCGGAGTTTGTTTGAAGATCTCTATCGTGTGTAATATTTTTCCCCGATTAGTAACTATTTATACCCGTAGCTCTTCTGATGGAAATTTTGATTGTTGCTTCATAAATTTACACTGCTCTCATTTTAATCAAGTTACAGAAGGCAAAAGATTCGAACTTCAGATAATGCAAAGGTAAATTAGGAGTTTCCATTAGACGATAAGTATACTTTTTATTTCAGGGTGACTCTGGCAAGATTAGCACCAGTTTTCTCTTCGGTCCTTCTCCGGGCACTCACCTCGTCTGGTTCCAGGGCTGGCCTCTCTGGATTGAACGGACCAGGGAGACACAAGCCAGAGACTTCCAGGTTATATCATACATCTGTTGCAAAATATGAATCATATTTATCAGAAAATATTTCTATTGCTCGGAGAACGTTTTTTATCGAGTAGTTTGGAATTGGGTTGATTGTCGAGAATATGTCGTATATATTTATTTTTCAATTTGATACATGAATAATTGTCATAATCGTAATCGATCATCTATGAAGGTAGTTCTCTAATCTGGGAAAGCCTAGTTACTTGAAGTTCTTTTTTTTTTTTTTTTTATTTGCCCCCGGCCTGCTCAGTGCAGGACCAACCGTGGGGGAGGGGGAGATGTCATCCATTTTGCCGCAGCCGGTCCCACCTTGAGGAGGCGGATGACACTAGGACCCCTCCAGCCATGAAGTTACTTGAAGTGTTTATGGTCCATTGCCTCATAAATCATGCTTTCAGACAGGGATGCCATATGAGACGATGACTCTGACCACATTTGCAGGCAGGCCCACTCTCTACTCGAGGATACTTAGTGATGCGAGGGAATCAGCCTTGAAAGCACACGAAGGTAATTTAAACATGTAAGTATAGAAATGAACTGTTGCGTTACTTCAAAGGCAACATAAAACTCAGTTCACCAAATTTGAAGTAAAGAGCGAGAATTGTTCTTGAATTTTTTAATTTGGTTTTTGTTCACTCAGTATATTCAATTATGTAATTATAAGATTCGATTAATGTAGTAGAAACTCTTATATAGGTGCGATTATAGGTCTTAGATAGGTCGTGATGAAAGCCGAAAGGTCACAGAAAAATTGATGGACTTCTCATTCGAATGTCGATTTTAATTTTCAGATTTTCCAGCGAAATAAAAGTTTCACCTATAGTCTTCTCAAATTGAGTTTAAATTATCAAAAAGTATATAAATAAAAAATTGTTAGAACAGCTTTAAGGGCATATAGCTTTAAGGACAGTTTTCTTCAAAATTCGAAAGTTTTGCCGTTTCCTTGCGTTCATTGACGCGTTTCCAACTATCTCTTGGCAATGTTTTTAATATCACAGTTGTTTTCTGTTAAATATTCGTATAAAGCACTTTTTAAGGCTTTTTTATTACATTCAAATCATAAATATTGCATAAATATTGCAAAGCATAAATTTGATTGTGGATAACTTTTAGTGTTGCAAAATTGGTTGAATCGTTCAGGTCGTACTAAAATCTACGTGGCGAGAGCGGCCGACTGGTGTGAGTTCGGGACTCCGCGACTGAAGCGACCTCTGGAGTCGGTGGCATTCAAACCTGGACTGAAGGAGGAAATTCTTGACGATGTGCGCAGTTTCCTGGAATCGCCAGAGTGGTACCAGTCCAGGGGCATTCCATACAGAAGGCGAGTCAAGTTTTTTTCCACAGTTATTTATATCCTCTAACAACGGTGACAGTGCTTCAATAGAAGGACTGCCCCCCAATACAATAGTTTTTTTATATCCGAAATATCGCCTTTTTAATGAAAATATCAAAAAATTTAAAATATATTTTATTTTTATCATTATTTTGTTTAAATAACCTGAACCTGAATTGTTGATGTAAACAGGGTAGACTATACGTGGGCGCTCAATGTGCCTTTTGTCTATCCTCTCCGAGTTATTTATTTTGATGCTGTGTCTATTTTGATGTTTTATTATAACTTTGGAGAAATAAATTCTTTCTTTCTTTCTTTCTTTCTTAAACCACCATGTTCTGCTTGTCAAACTGACCTTTCGATTTTTTCTCTAGGTGTTCTAATAGATAGCCTTTCACACTCTTATTATCCGAAAACTACTCGTGACTCGTGCAGGATAGCCTTTCGCAGTCTTATTATCCGAAAACTACTCGTAACTCGTGCTAAGTTTGCAAGTATTTCAATTTAAGAAAGAAAGGAGAAAGACAGAATTTATTGCGCCAATTTTTTAAAATCATTATTGGAAATGCATATATAACCATCTTCCGAGACTTGGAGAGGACAAAAAACTGGATTTGTGGATCTCCTTAGGGTCTTCCCCTATTCGTGTTTTATTAATGATAAATAAAGTTTTGTTTTCTTTTTTTTTGTACCATTCTCTTTTTTGCCCCTTCAAAAAGATCCTATAAATTGTCCTGAGGTAAGAAGAGGCAAGAGAACGATATCCTAAATATGGTTGCAACTTTTATGTACCTGTGAAGTGAAGGAATTAGGAAAAACTGAAAAAAAAGGATTATAAAATAATTATTTTTAAAACACCATTTTTCATAAATCCTATAGCATAAAATTCGGATAGGATGACTTCATGGTTTGTTCGACCACCTCTTCACCTCTTCACTTCGACCGTGAGTTTTTATCAAATCGGAAAATGGACGTTTATCAGGTTGACAATATGTTAAGCAAAATCACTAAACTATTTCGCCAACTGACATTTCTGTTTAACAGATGCATTTTGTGCAACTGTGCTTTTTAAAATCCAACTCTCTGTACCCAAGCGAGCGTAGTTTGATAGTGCGATGCGAGTTTGTTTACATCCTAACTCAGAAGGAAGTTTCACATTTAACTTGTGGGTGGGTATTAGTTACTACAGGGTAGTTACTACTGGGTAGTGTCTGCTCAAAGATTGGAGGGCGTTTCCGCTTCATAAGTTTTGTTCAGTCGCTACTTTCACCTGTATTGCTTGTAATTTTTGCCTAGAATTCTGTTTGATAAAAATAAATGTAATGAAAATAAAGATTCTTTTATTTTTTGTTTGGGACGCTTTGGAAGATTTTAATACTTTTTGCAAAAAATTTAGTTTTTTTTTCTCAAAAACTCTTCAATCGATTTTTAAAAATGGGGTATCCAGAGAAAAACCACCTACATTCTAGTGTACCTCCATACTCCTCTTGTCTCTTTTTGCTTTCCCCTTTTGTCTGCAGCCTTCGAAAAGGTCTGTGGGGGAATATGTGACTGATATATTTTTTTCGTATTCTCATTAACTAACCTTCCATGTCTGAGTTTTTAGTTTCAGTGAATAGAACGGATTTAGTAAGCTCTCGCCATCAGCGGTTATGCCCAAGTTTTTTTACGCCCAAAACCATGACCCTCGGAATAGTTAAATTTTTTGTTTGTTTGACTGTTTTTTGAATATTTTAAAAAAATTTTCGAAAAAACTAACCGCTCAAACCTGAGGTTGTTGGTTCAATGAAAATAACGGGTGTTGGGAAGCTCCCCTGTTTTAGTGATCACTAACAATTTTTTTACATGAAAAGTAATCGTCCTTGGAAAAGTCAATTTTTATCGTTTGTTTTAGTTTTTTGAAATTAACTAAAAAATACCCTTTCATATCTGAGATTTTGGGTTGAATCCAAAGAAGGGCCGTGGGAAGCCTTTTTGCACAAGCGACTATACCCAAAGTGTTTTCACACAAATATGTATGGCCCTCGGAAAATTCAAATTTTTGATTTGTTGACTGTTTTTTGAAATTTCTTACTGTTCTGGAGAACTACCCGGCTGAACCTAGGTTTTTGGGTTCAATCGAAATAACAGATTAGGTGAATTACTTCTTCATCAGCGGCTACACCAATTTTTTTAAAATAAAATGATATGATTCTCGGAAATGTCAACGCTCATTTGTTGACCGTTTTTTTTTGTCTTTTCTCGATAACTGTCCTGCCAAAACTGTTATCATAGCTTTAATTGACTTAACAGGTTGTTGATAGCTTGATTTTATAATTTGCTAAGCCCAATTTTTTTTGAAAAACCTTATGGCTAGCAAACAAGTGGAAATTTTGAGTTTTGACCGTTTTTTAAAAAATTCTTGTTTTTTCTTAAAAACTACCCTATCAAATCTGAGATGAAAATTTTAATCGAAAAAAGCGCTAAGAACTGAGAAATAACTAAATTGTGGGACACAGACCAATTTGAAATCACGCATTTTGTTTTGTAAAATCAATCAAACACGTACCTCCAGCTTTAGCTGGGATCTAGGTGTCCGTCATCGAGGCATACGAAAATTTTGGTTCAGCTATTTTTTTAAACATTTTTCATTTTTTTATAGTTTTTTTATGATTGTGTTGTGTCGCAAGTGGTGCCAAGCTCCTGTTCGCCTCTGTGGTAAAAGGGTTCATTTATTTGAAAGTTTCACTGTAGCATTGGAAATTGCATTGCATCTGTTCTCTGCTTTATTTGTGGCTTGTGTTTTCTACGTATTAAGCGTTCGTTGCTGAGTGGGTACTGTGTGAGAAACATAATCTCTAGGTGACAGGTACGAATTCGAGACGTACTCGAATGTTACTGATTCGAGGCTTATTTCTAATTTTTCTTATGTCATTTTATAGAGCTGTTTTTGTCGTGTTCTCGCAAGTGTTTGCAAAGCGAAGCTTCGCCTCTGTGTAAATCATGTTTGCTTGATATTAATCTTGTGGTCCATTAAAGGGGTTACTTGTTGCATGGACCTCCAGGGTGTGGCAAGAGCAGTTTCATATTCTCCCTGGCTGGCAGCATCGACTATTCCATCTGCATTCTCAACTTAGCACAACAGATGTTCACGGACGACCGACTGCAGTAAGTACTTCCGCTGTTTCTGTGGTACCAGTTGCTATTAAAAGAGAAAGAAAAGCATTAAGCCTCAGCTCTTTCCCATCCCTCCTTCACGCATATATTTCACAAAGTTTTTATTGTTTATAGTTGTTGAACGTATTATTATGGCTAAATGCGTGTTATGGATGAAGGGAAGAATAAATTTCTTCGTTTTTTAATTTGTTCACTGTGCCAAATTTCATTGCATTATACAATGTTAAATTAGTATGGTTTTTCAAAATTGAAATTCAAAAGTTATTAATTATGGGAACCCTCTAATACTTTCGAACCCCCTCCCTGCAATGAAAAACGTCTTTTTGGGCTTTTCTTTGGGCGGAAGTGGGAAAGAATCTTGGCTTGTAAGAGCTGGAAATGTATGTTTTGTTCAATCAGGCACTTGTTAGTCCATGCGCCTCATGACTCAATAGTGCTTCTGGAGGATATCGACTGTCTCTTCCAAAAACGAGGAGGAGATGCGAACATGCCACATCCACACTCTAATCAGCCATACTCACCTGGTCCACTCTCCATGTCTGGACTCCTGAATGCCCTGGACGGTGAGTAACATTTCAACCATTTCGCGGGAAAGTTAATTTGCAAAAGTTCAAGTGTTTTGATATGTTTTGATTTTCTCTATTGTTTATTTTATCTTTTCGACGTTTTTTTCCATAACGATAAATTGCACAAATAATATTCAATAAATGTTTCTTCTACCAGATGGAAATGAAATCAGGCTTTTGGGTTTTCTTTTTGGCTGGTTTACTTTTGTTTCTCTTTTGCTAAAAGCAGTGAAAATCTTAAATTGATGTGAGACGAGACATCTAAAACTAACAGACTGTCACAGTTCACTCAACTACCTCTCCTAAATTCTATTTTCTTCAATTTACTACCGAAGTTTGAGAAGGGTGCCGGACATCAAGCCGACGGGACTTCAAGCCGGATCGTAAAATTAGGGACTTCAAGCCGAAAAGTTCCTTATAAACTCGTGAAATATGATTAATTTGAAAACTTTTTTGAAGAATTTCTGAATTTCATGATCTTTCTTCACACGTTATTAGCGTTTTCATAAAATTTAAGCCTCCAAATGATGTTTCGGAAAGTTGAAAAGTTAAACATGGTTGAAGGCATTTTTCATGTTTATAATTTATGCATTTCAAAAACCGGCTGATGTTATTAACGGATGCCAATCACAAGTGGTGCATTATCATGAATAACGTTTATTATGGACTAAACTTGTCAAAATTTTTGAAAAACAACGTTTTACAGATGATAAAATAGTGTGTTGAGGTGCTTGTAAAGTTTTAATTTCGGCTTGAAGTCCCTTCGGCTTGAAGTCTCGTGGGGTTGTTGTTCTAGACCCGTTTGAGAACAGCGGTGCTAGAGATTTTAGCAGACCGATTTTTTAGCAGACAGGTTTTTTTCAGCAGACACAGAACAATTAAAAAGTGTGATAGCTAACTTCAAATGCGGCATTGGCGATTAGCGACCGCTTGCTCCGCTGCGCTTCAATTCAACACGAGTGTTATTGTGTGCGTAAATCTTTGTTTTGCTGCTAATTTAGACTGTTGTGTTTTTGAAGTTGATAGTTTTGTTGACAAATAGTGAGATAATTGACTTAATTGGGGGAGTTTGGCCCCAGACTGAGCGTCTTTTTGAGTCTGTCAATCAGTCATCCATTACTTTATTACTTTGTTCTGCTAAAAGACTCATGGAGGCGGAGCAATAAGCAGAATGGTCCAAGAGCAGAATGGATCCAAGAGCAGAAAAAAAGGAAAATATTGACTTATTTTGGTTTATACTGGCTAAATTGATAAAACAATTATTAGAATTGTCAAAAATATCAGGAAAACGAATAAATTATGCATGAATTGACTAATTCCGGTAAGTTTTTTGATTAATTATTTTTTTTTTAAATTCTCGATTAAATCACGCAAATTATGCATAAAATATTCGTTGCTTTGGTATTATTGACATTTCTGATAATTAATTTACCGATTAGCTTATAAAAGTTGATAATTTTCTGTTTTTCTGCTCTTAGACCCATTCTGCTCATTGACTGGCCACCAAGACTCGTATTTCACTTTTTATGCTAAAAGATTTGTCTGCAAAACGATCGGTCCCCGAGAACAGCACTCTCTGTTATTTAGCAATAATAACTGTTCGACTAGGGGATACAAATCAAATTACATAAAATGTTTTTGAAAGAATTTTATGGTTCACATTTTGAGTGAGGTTAGAACCTCTTTATGGGTTCAATAGTAAATTCATGCTTAGCAACATATCATGCTCGTTGCTTGAAGGTGAGGCAACATTACCCAGAGCCCAGAAAAATAACCAAAAAAATAGCATGTAGTTCTTAAGCAGGGTCATAACAGCGGTTCGCCGTGATCTGTACAGCTCGTATGGTGGTCCTTTCCCTCGTGGATAAATGGTCTTAATTAATATCAAAAATTTAATCACACTGCTGATTTTGTTGGCTTTTGAAACTCCTGTAATTCAGACCTGACCATCATTCCTGTGTTTTATCCGTTCAACGCCGGATCTTCTTGATTTTCCCATCCGGCAATTTCATATGGAACTCTAAATTAAATGGATCCACTGGTCCAATGATGGTCTCAAGTAGCATGCATTGAATGCATGTTTGTTGTTTAAGGCGTCGGCAGTGGAATCGGACGTCTGGTTTTCATGACCACGAACCACCCACAATTATTAGATCCAGCCCTGGTCAGACCCGGTCGAGTTGACAAAAGTGTTCATATTGGATATCTGGAACCGAGCCAGGCGGAGACATTATTTGCTAATTTTTACCCAGTTTCTGATCGGAAAAGTCGCCGTGATTTTGTAGAGGTGTTTAGAAAGTTCGACACTTCGTCAATATCGCCTGCTATGTTGCAGGCACATTTTATGAATTTCAAAGAAACGCCTCACATGGCAATTGAAAAGTTTGAAAATTGTGTTAATTAAAAATTCTATTTACTTTTTCGTTTGTGTTAAGCTATGACAGATTTTTCATTGGTCAAATGTCTATGGAATGGTAAAGTTATATGCGATAGTGCTCGCAAATTGGCTAGTGGCTTACGAAACTGCTGGGGTAACTAATGAGGGCAAATTATCCCTGGGGGTAACTTACGAAACTGCTGGGGAAAATTATGATAGTGGAATCCCTAAATTTTATAAGGATTACTTCAGAAAAATATGGACCTTAAAATATGAACATCTTCTTTTTTGTCGTTGTAGCATCAGGGAAATTTTAGTAGTCACCCTTCAACTAGTTTTTCTAGGGAGCCATTTATTACACTAGCGCTCAGCGTAAGAGTATACTATGAACCTTCTTTTTTTAAACCTAACTAGCAAATAAACCTAACTTCACTTATATGAAAGTTACACTGTAGCATTGGAAATTGCATAGAATCTGTTCTCTGCTTTCTTTCTGGCTGGTGTTTGGCATTAATTAAGCCCGCATTCATAGCCTCTAGGTCGTAGGTTTGATTCCGAGACGTACCCGAATTTTTACTAATTCGCGACTTCAACTTTTTTATTATTACACTTTATAGAGCTGCTTTCTGTCGCGTTCTCGAAAGTTTTGCGAAGCGCAGATTCGCCTCTGTGTCTTACTTAAAAGCTCCGTTTTTTCAGATTTTCATGCTTGAAGTGAATGAAGCTAGTAATCCAGCGAGTGACCAGTGCTTCTGTAACTGTAGGAGGGGAAATTGTGGGGGCTATCAAGAATGGATTATGCGTGTTGATAGGATAATACTTTTCCTTTATTCCTCCGTCAACTAGACCAAAATTGCAGTGCTCAGTTTCACTCGGTGTGCGATCAGTAAACCCAAGTATCAGTTATTTATCAGATTGGTAATCCGAGCTGCGTAACAACTAATTCAGTTGCGTATTCAAAAAATTGTTGTATTAATTTTGCCTGTGCTACAATAGTTGAGTTAAATTGTTTAGGTTCATGACAAGAGTAAAGAGTCTTCGGTTCATGTAATTGTGTAATAGATTGATAAAATAGTTGTGCATTTTCGGTTTACTGATCTGATTCATCTGTTATGGTTTACTGGCTCTGTTACTGAATGCAGTTAGTCAGTTCAAAATAATGACACTGCAAAATTTTACTTTTATCTTTGATTGTTGAATTTAAAAATTTAGTTGGTTTTTGAAATTAAATTTTCACATTATTTTCTAGAATCATGTCAAACTCACAAAACGGAAGATTAATTCATAAAAGTACGTGGAATTTTCATAAGCTGTTGAGATTCTTTGTTTACAGAAGTTAGATAAAAATGGCTCTAAAACTTATACGCTGGCTTTAATTGAACAAAATGGGAATAAGAATTAGTTATGAGCGAAGATCTAATGGAAAAGTGTGGCTAGGTGTGAATAGAAACGATAGCCTTTCGGACGCACAGTTCTTGGCCAAGAAACTTCTCTCAATCAAACTATTCGAAGACACGGAGGGATCCCATTGGAAGAAATCAGTGAAGGATTTGGACTATGAGCTACTCTGCGTGTCTCAGTTTACACTTCATGCTCGCACAAATAAAGGTAACTAACGCTAAAAAGAACCAAGTTCTAGCATGGTTTGTTCTCTTCGCTTACACTTCGCTGGGTACCTTTTTCCAATTCTGAGTGGGTTGTCGGAATAAATGCAGCCTTTTAATCCGTCCATTTCGATTATATCTAATAACAAGTTTTCAGGTCAACTTAACAAAATGTTTATAACAAAATATATTTAGATCATATTTTTGTAAGTAATATATTTCATAAATAATGTTTTTCTGGCTCAATTCTAATTTTCTAACTATTTGCATATTATTAATTCTACTTCAAATATTGAAATGTTTAAGTATTTTGGAATTTCCGTAACATAGCACCTGTAGTCTAGTATGAAACAATTCATTCATCTGGATTCGAGATCTTCCTCTTTCGTGTTCTCTGACCATTTCTCGGCGTCATCCCAATATGTCAAGTAGTTCTCATTGAAGAAATCGGGTGCAGCCCAGTTGTCCAAGTTAACGGTTTCAAGCTCTTTGAAGCTGATTTTCTTGCAGACTGAATAGTAAACTTTGCCACAATAGATGCACCATGGCCTCTCGGAATGATTGGGTTTTTGACCGCGAGAAGAGCAAGGCAAACAGTAAGGTATAAGTTCGTCGGCATTATTGAATTTTGCAGAACTTTCAAAATTTAGAGCTGATACCGTTTTTGAAGCCATGGTGTCTTGGCGTGGTTATTTTTTCTGCAATAGCACAAAATGACAGATTTATTTACGCTAATTTTTCTTTTGATGTGGTCAGTGAAGAGGTGTAATTTTGGTCCTTTTGAGCTTATTGATTCGTATACATTGTCTTACCAAGCAGCACTTTGCACCAATCGATAATGAAAAACCATCTGACCAAATTAACTACTTCTGGAGTCGTGTACATTATCCAACTTTGCACTACTTATTACCCAAGCAATTACACCGGAGTCTGTTTTCTAAACCAAAGATGTCTTTGTCATTTTGAAACTTTTGCGCGATTTTTTTCTGAGATAATGTTTCAGCAGACTAATATGTCCGATTCATTAAAGCGCATTCATCTCTGCCTGGACTATTTGTGTAGTGTGTGTGTGAAACTGAGTAAGATGAAAAAGTGGATTCTTAGTTTTCAGTGATCTAATGGTCATGTTTGCTAATGAAGAGGAAGGTTGTGTTGTGATTTTGATCACTCAAAGTGTGACCTTTTTAAGAGTCGATGATTGTAATTAATACTCTTATATATGTCGTGATGGTTTTTTTCAGGAAAACACTTAAATTTGTTCAGGCTCAAATGTACTTTTTTGTGGATTGACTTTTGATTTCTTTCCAAGTTCAGTTCATTTCCTTTGTTAAAAGAAAGGCAAACTACACTAGAACTAAAAAATTGACAAAAAATGTGATCGATTTCTAGTTTCGAAAGTGGAATTTAATCATCGAATTTCCCTGCGAATTATGAATTTTACCCATTGATCCAGTTTTCTAAAATTGGCCTAATTCGAGTGCTGATACCGTTCTTGAAGCCATGGTGTCGTTGACTGTTGTTCTAATCAATTTTTAACAATAGCACTAAGTTATAGTGTTTTCATTTCATTTTTCTAAATTGAATTTCTGTAATTTGGTCTGGTTGAAGTTAGAAATTTGTCCAAATAGATAAAAAAAATTTCAAGGAATTCATCATTTTTCTTTATGAGATATCAATTTCCAGCTATTACTTCATGTCGTTTAGCTCACGTTTAGAGCGACAAATGTTTACAGTTCGGTTCTGCTCAGGAGTTGTTCTTCTAACAAGGTGAATATTTCAGCTATTATGTTACCCTTAATAAGCAAGAGTGTTGCAATCGGGTGCTAGACTTTTTTCCCGTAAAGAACTTTGTTCACGTGACTCACTCTTCGATTCTTTCACCTCTTTTTTCTCGTTGCAAATCCTGTCCCTCTGTTGCAAATAGTAAACGTGTTCTGTGTTTGGAAGTGTTTAATATATCCTTCATTTTCGAAATTTTTTTTTCTGTTGATAGTTATTTTTCTTATTCGATTCGTTGAATTATTTTGCGCTTGTGTGTTTTGAGGGAAAGAGGAACTTCAAGTTTTTCATTCGTGTCTATTTTTTTGAATTTTTTTTTTCAGCTTGAAGGGTTTGTGCTTAGAATTTTTGGCTTTTTTTACTGTTTGGTTAGTTTTCCTCCGATGCTCATTTCGCAATCTATTGTTAGGGCTTGTTTCTTCAGTACTATCCGTATACATTTTGACGATATGCTTGCATGTATATTATAGAATTCAGTATTTTCTTTTTTGGCTGATTGTTTTTCGGCCGGCTTGTTTGTTAAGATGAAGCTCTCGGTTTATCTTCAGAAATGTGTGTACCTCTTGCCTGCAGTACATATATGGCACATAGGGATTCTATACGGGGCGTACATGGCTTTTTTAATGAATTTTATTTAGCCGAAAAATTTTGGCTGAATTTCAGATTAATAGCTGACGGCTTTTTTAAAAACCAAATATCTTGTTTCCTATATTTTTTCGATAATTTTTATAAAATCGATAAAACCCTGCCGCACCACGTCGCACATGTTTGCTAATAAAGAAGAAGTTGTGATTTTGATCACTCTTAAATTGACGTTTTTAAGATTCGATGAACGTATTTGAGACTCTTAAAAAGGTCATGGTGATTTTCAGGAAAAACTTTAATTTTTGTTGCGACTTAAAGGTTCTTTTTCGTGGATTGACTTTTGATTTCTTAAATTCAGGCCATTTTTTGTTGTAACGAAGGCAAAGAACCCTATCGATCGGCAAAAACTAAAGGTGACAAAAAATATAAACGACTTCTAGTTTCGAAAGTGGAATTTGATTATCGAATTTCCCAGCGTAATAAATGTTTTACCTTTTGATGCAGTTTATTAAAATTGGGTTAATTCGAGTGCTGAAACTGTTTTTGAAGCCATAGTGAAAACGGCTGTTGGCGTGCTCGTTTTCAACAATTGGCACAAAATAACAGTTTTTTATTTCATTTTTTTAAATTGAGGTTTTGTTAATTTGGTCAGTTTGAAGGGTGCTATTTTTTGTAATTTGGAGCTCATTGTTCGTACCAGCCGTCACACTTATATAGTCTTACCAGGTATATATTATCGCACCAACTAGCACATATTTGCTTAAAAAGAAGAAGGTTGTGATTTTGATCATTCAAAGTGTGACGTTTTTAAGAGTCGATGAACGTGTTTTAGACCCTGATATAGGTCGCGATGATTTTTTATCAGGAAAAATTTAAAGTTTTGTTCAGACCCAAAAGTACTATTTCCTTGATTGACTTTTGATTTTTTCTAGGTCAAGCTCATTTCCTTTGACCCAAGAAAGGCAAACTGCACTATCGAACAAAAAGTGTAAAAATCACAAAAAACGTAATCGACTTCTAATTCAAAGTGAATTTGATTATCGAATTTTTCAGCGGTTTAAATGTTTTACCTCTTGATCCAGTTTTCTCAAATTGGGTCATTATGAGTGCTCATACTGTTTTTGAAGCCATGGTGTCGTCGCCTATTATTTTGCTCGTTTTTTAAACAATAGCACAATTTTCTTTTCCTTTTTATAAACTGAATTTCTAGTTTGGTCAGTATGAAGTGGTGTTAATTATGTCATTGAGAGCTTATTGTTTCTACCACCAGGTATACCTATATTGCCGCAACCAGTTGCACATGTTTGCTTATGAAGAGGTAGTTTTGATTTTGATCATTCTAAGGTTGACGTTTTTAAGCTTCGATGAACGTATTTTAGACTCTTAATTATGTGGCGATGATTTTCAGGAAAAAACTTTTAATTTTTTTCAGTTTTAAATGTTCTTTTTCGTGGATTGACTTTTAGTTACTTAAGTTCAGGTCATGTTTTTGTTAGAACACCGACAAACTACCCTATTGATCAGCAAAAGGTAAAGGCCACAAAAGTATAATTGACTTCTAGTTTCGAAAATGAATTTGATTATAGAATTTTTCTGCGAAATAAATATTTTAACCTTTGATCCAGTTTTCTAAAATTGGATTATTTCAAGTCTTGAAACCGTTGTTGAGTCCATAGCGAATTCGACTATTGGTGTGTTTATTTTCAAACAATAGCACAAGATAACAGTTTTTTATTTCATTTTTTTTAAAATTGAGTTTCAGTTAATTTTGTCTGTATGAGTGGTGGTATTTTTGAGCTCATTGTTTGTACCAACAAGTACAATTACTTTGTCGCACCAGCTATACCACGTATGTATTGTCGAACCAAGTAGGACATATTTGCTTATAAAGAGGAAGGTTGTGATTTTGATCACTCAAAGTGTGGTGTTTTTAAGAGTCTATAAACTTATTTCAGACTCTTATATAGGTCGCGATGATTTGTTTTCAGGAGAAAATCTGTTGAGGTCCGAATGTAATTTTTTTACTGATTTCCTTAGTTAAAAGAAAGGCAAACTACACTATCGAACAACAAAAATGTAAATGGCACAAAAAACATAATCGACTTCTTGTTTCAAAGTTGAATTTGATTATCGAATTTCCTTGCGATGTTTAACCTTTTAATCCAATTTTCTCAAGTTGGGGTGTTTCGGTTGCTGATGCGGCTTTTGAAGCTATGGTGTCGTCTTATATAGTTCTGCCTATTTTTTGCACAAGTAAGCAGTATTTTCATTTCATTTTTTAATTTGAATTTCTGTTAATTTGATCAGTATGAAGTGGTGGTAATTTTTGCTATTTTAAGCTTATTGTTTGTACCACCACGTACACTTATATTGTCGCACCAAGTACATATTGTCGCTTCAAGTAGCACAAGTTTGCTTACGAAGAGGAAGTTTGTGATTTTGATCAATCAAAGTGTCACGTTTTTAAGAGTCGATGATAGTAGTTCAGCCTTTTATATAGGTCGCGATGATTTTATTTAGTCTTTTCGCAGGAAAAATCTGATAATTTGTTCAGGCTCAATTGTATTTTTCCTGATTGATTTTTGATTTTTTTTTCAAGATCAGCTCAGTTCCTCTGTTGAAAGGAAGGCAGACTGCTGTCAAACAGCTTAAAGGCAAAGGTCACGAAAAACGTGATCAACTTCTAGTTTCGAAGTGGATTTTACTTATCGAATTCACCAAAGAAATAGATGTTTTTTTTCTATTACTCCTGTTTTTTCAAGTTGGGTTAGTTCATCGAAAAAGCGTCAATCATAAAATGTTCTGGAATGTCAAAGAGGTTTAAAGTCATCTGTTTTTTCTTTGAAACTCGAAAGCTGAGATTTTTTCAAAAAATGGTCCGTTTTTTTTCTGGTAACTTGCGTTCCTTGACTCTTTTCCAATTGTCTGTTGGCTATGTTTGTTTTGCAATTTTGTTTAGGAGGATTATTTCCTTGAATTGTTCAGACCCTTTTTTTTGGTTGTCTGCGAAGTGCAGCTTTGCTTTGGTGTACCAAAAAGCATCAATTGTAAAACTATCCTGCAATCAAAAGATCCTTCAATTTGTTCTATTTTACCTGTGAATTGAAAGATCTGTTCTCGTATAAGCAGTAAGCAAGGGTCTTTTTACTTGTTCCGTGCAACTTAAATGATAAAAAGTGAAAGGATAATGGGTTAATATGATTAGTGGAAACCCTGATCTGAGCTCAAAAATAAAAATAGAAATCATATTGCTCTTATCTGATGATGTGAAATTGAACTCGACCGCCAAATATAGTTCGAACAACGCGTTAAATGATAGTCGAGAGCTGTGAAGTAAACTTTGGTGGAATAAGTAAACAGACTTGTAAGCTATATCACCTATCTATTATGCTTTTACCGAGAATTCTCCATTTGTCTTTTTTGTTTAAGGAGCTAAACCCGACTTTCACATTAGCATGAAAGGAGACGAATCCAAGAAACTGTATGAAAATTTCTTGGAGACAATCAGAACTTTCTACAAATCAGAAAAAGTCCAAAGTGGAGTTTTTGGCTCAAAGATGAGTGTAAACTTAGTAAATGACGGTCCAGTTACTATTTTGTTAGATTCGCCTTCAGAAAAAGACGATCAGAGCTCAAAATCAAACACAGAAAATAGGCCGACAGTTTCTCAGGATAATTGCACAAGCGAAATGGTTTCCTAGATCAGCTGATATCAAATAATTGTAAATAGAAAAAAAATTGCCTTTGTAGATAAATGCAATTATGCTTCTTGGTTAAATTGGCATTGTTGAGTTTTTGCTCAGGAAGAGTCTTAAAAGTTGTTCGAGCTCAAATTTCATCATTTGCAGTTTGACTTTTGGTTTCTTTTTTTAAGTTCAATTCAGTTTCGTTTGCTTACAGAAAGACTTACGCCCTCCGACTACAAATTTGGAAATGGTGCAAAAAATGTGCATTACTTCTAATTTCAAAAATTCATTTTGGTTTTGAAATTCCAAAAGCTATTATAAAAACTTTCCCTTCAAATTTTTTCTCAAATATGGTTAGTTTGATGCAAAAAATGTCAATTATAAATGCTTAGAACCAAGTTAAGATTCCCCCTCCCCAAACCCGTTTAGGCGGGAGGATGTTTACTTGGTTCTGGGTTTGAATTTTCGGCAACTCAGACTAAATAACTTAAATTTAAGTTGAACGCTGGGGTGAATGACCATTACTTGGCATTTTTTTGGGGAGGGTGGGATTGTTAGCTTGATCCAAAGATTTATGAAAATTGACTAGCTGCGAGTGATATATACTGTTTATTGGTTATGAGTCAAAGAATACAAAAAATTCTCAAAATTTAATTTAAATCAACGTTATTTTCAGTTGTTGAATGGAAATTGAGGATCAAAATCAAATCGAGAAAGCAAATCCGTGTTTGGATTTGGACCAATCAGAAGCCGAAGAGAACGATGACGTTAGGATAATTCCGAAGCTAGTTGAACAGGATTGGATGGCGACTGTCGAAGTATCTTTTTCAACCACACATGCTGCAGATATTGCTCTTAATTCTCTGAAACCCGACATTGAACCTCGTGTGGGATGTTATCGCGAACTCAACTCGGCTGAGGCTAAGCTTACTGGCCTTTTTTCGGCACCAGATCCTAAAGGTCTCTCAATATCTTTGAAAGGCTTCCTAGACCATGTAGGATTGATTGAGGCCTGTTTTGAACGCTTTAGCCCAAAATCGATGCCCGAATCCAAACAGAATTCACATGTTTGCAAGTTTCGATTAGCAAAATCATGCGAAATGTTTTCGAGGTCAAATGAAAAGTTTTTCGCGGACGGAAAATATTTGATTGAAAGTAAAACTTGTGTTGATTTGGGCGAAAAGATACATGAATATTTGAAAGTATTTGTTGATGAAATTGTTGTACATAATAAAGAAAAGACAGATGAGTAAATTTTTTTTATTTCGTTCTGCAGAACTAGTGTCATGATAAAAATGTTAGATACTGTGCCAAATTTTGTTAGATACTGTGCCATTAGATTTTGTGTCAAGGGCACCGACGAATCAAGTTCTCGGGATAGTTGTTTATTCAGACCAGACACGGCGATCGAAATAATAGTTTTCAACGGTAATGTTTCTTAACCAATGAAGATATCGACACCATAATAAGCTTCAAATACTCAGCTAAAAAGCTTTTTCAGTTCTTTTTTTTTTAACCAAAGCCGCCAATTTTATTGCAAATTTTAGGTATAAGTTGCATAACGTCTGCTCTAGCTATATCATCATCGAAGCGAACATAATCTCTGCTGCCTAATTGAAGTTGGAATAAGAGACTGTCTCGTGTCTAAATTCGAATCCTGTTGTGCCCGTTTTTTTAAAACTTTTTTAAAGTTGATTTTGGTAATTTCTTTCTTTTTTCTTTTTGGAGTTCGTTTTTTTTTGGCTTGTGTTTGCGGAGAGCAACTGCACTTCTGTGTATCAGTTATAACTAGATTTTGGCTGTCATGAAGGGTGAACAAACAAAAAAATTGGTTTTAGAAAAGTTTTTAAATTGTTTTATTACATTGGTGAGATTAGTTGCATTCTAGACTTTTGTCCTGATCATCCTTAAGATAAGCAAGGGTACTGCAACCGGGTACTAGACTTGTTTCCCGTGGTTAAGCTTGTTCTTAGAGTATTACATTTTAAAACAAGTTCAAAATGGTAAATTTAAATATATGATTTTTACGTTTTTTGCTTATATAAGGGCTACAGTTTGCTTTGTAGGTAGCAGATGCATTTTTCTGTATGATTCTTTAACTGAAAATAATTCGGCTGTCTTTCAGCTTTCTAAGTGTCCGCTTTAATTCTGTCGGTTTTGTTATTATTGTTTTTCTTTATTTGTTTCCAGTCGTTTTTTGATATGTACTCTTTTTTTGATTAGGTATGTTTAAAATTTAAAAATTACTGCTCCGACCGTTGAAAATTTTACTCTTTTTTACTGACTTTTTAATTTTTTCTTTGCACTAAAGCTTTGTTCGGGTATTTTCCTCGAAATTTCTCAAAGGACCGGACTTGCTGTTCTTACCATTTTTTATGGCGAATGTAATTGAAATCATGAGGCATTTCACATTTCCCGGTATAATTTTCAATCAGTTTTTTGTCAATTGTTTTTTTTTTGCTTCCTTGCCTGTTTGTTTTGAGTAATGAATGTAGTCAATACTCTTAGTTTTTCATAAATTGTTGTGGAAATTCAAAGAGCTTAACGGGCATCTATTTTTTTCTCTGAAATTCGAAAGTTTGGAGATTTTTTCGAGAAAGTCAGTGTTTTTTTATGTTTACATGCGTCCATTACTCTTTTCCAATCTTCGATTGGCTATGTCTGTAGAATGATATTTTTTTCAAGCATGGTTTTGAGTTTAGGAGGCCTCAAGTGCTATCAGATCACAAATTACCTTAAAATTTTTTTAATTAATATTTTTTAGTAATTCAGATTTTTTGTTTTCAAATTAAATTTAGTTTATTTTCGCTATTGGTTTCTTGTACAATTGTTGTTTTGCTTTCCTGCTGTATGGTGTTTCTTTTTCTTTTGCAATTCAAATGTATGCAGGTTATTGTAATTTAAGTGCTTCTTGTTTTAAATCTAAAGAAAAAATTTCCGATAGCAAAAAAATGAAAGACAGTTTTTTCGCCAGCATATTTTTTTGTACTAGTTTGTTTGGACTTAGTTCAGAGAACCTTTTCGTCCTAATCCCTTGTGGTTTCTGAGACTTTTTTTATTTAATTGATTCAAATTAATGGCACATCGAATATTTGACTGAAAATTCAAAAGTTTTTCTACTTTAAAAGGTCCCATGATTGGGTTTTTTGGACCCTTTATACCGATTTTGTCGGCATTGTTACAAGATAATTTTCTATTTTTGTTCTATGCTGGCTGTTGTTTTCCGCCAGAGGTTTTTATCAAATTTAGTTTCATTTTGAGATAACATATGAAAATTTTGTAGATTTTTTTTGGCATTTTTTTAACGATTCGGTGGCGTTCTGTATCGCAAATGGTACGAAACTCAGCTTCACTTTTGTGTAAAAGGATTCAACCGGATTCAAGTGATCTTTGAGATCTGTTCCGTGTACGGTTCGCGGTCAGAATCTAGTCGCCTCATACTGCCTCACTTGAAAGGAGAAAATAAATAGTCAAAATAATTTTTTTTTGGCTCAATGGGCGTCTTTCTAAGTATTGTTGGCGTGCGTACTGCTTCGTAAGTTCTGTTTTAATGCTAATTTAACTCTGGTATTTGGTTCTGGCGACATGCTTTATCAAAACTAACTTCATTCGAGACAAACATCGAGAAGTTTTGATAGACCTAGTTTTTTCTTCGACATTTTTACAAGCAGTTTTTACAACTTCGGAGCTTTCGTCTCGTTTTGTATCGGCTAAATTGCCATGCTATGTTGGTGATGTTTTGCAAGTGAACCGTAGCTCTGCTTTTCATCTCTGATCAAAATGGTTTTTAGTGTTAACGATTATGTGAAGAAGCGAACTTTTAAAAACAAAAGTAGTCTTCTGCGTTTGAATAGTTTTTGCATGTTGACTGAATCGGAATGTAGTTTGCTGGGTATCTATACAGTGCTGATTTAAATTAACCGGAGAAAATGCGTTAAACTTGAAATTTAAAACCCGTTTTTCTCAAATTGGGTTGAGTTTAGGCGAAAATTTATGAGGACAAAACTTGCTTAAAATTTTAGCATAATTAATATGATGTAATTTATTTTGCGAAATTCGGGCCCGAAATTTTACTCCAAAAATGGGTCATTTTGGCTTTTCTTAGTTAATCAAAAATTACGCCAAAAATACTCGGACGATCACAGACATAATTGTATCAAAGTGAGCCCCTTACGTAGCCCAACAAACTTTAAGAAGGGTATTTTCTCCAAAAAAAATTGCAAATTGTTTAAAAATTGTTTTTAAATAAAAAGTTGGTATTTTATATAGTAAAAACGACCTTTTTTGTCTATCAAACAAAAATAAAATTTTTTATACAATATTTTGGAGGTTATGCCCCTCTTAAAGTTTGTTGGGCTACGTAAGGGGCTCACTTTGATACAATTATGTTTGTGATCGTCCGAGTATTTTTGGCGTAATTTTTGATTAACTAAGAAAAGCCAAAATGACCCATTTTTGGAGTAAAATTTTGGGGCCGAAATTCGCAAAATAAATTACACCATATTAATTCTGCTAAAATTTTAAGCAAGTTTTGTCCTCATAAATTTTCACCTAAACTCAACCCAATTTGAGAAAAACGGGTTTTAAATTTCAAGTTTAACGCGTTTTGTCCGGTTAATTTAAATCAGCACTGTATTACAGGTTTCGCATGAAATCTAGTGTTTTTTTTTCGTTTGAAACCTTGTGTAAGAAGCTTTATTTTCATGAAAATTTGAATAATCAGTCCAATTACGCGTTGTTTCAGATAATTTATGTTCTGATTGCTACCAGCGGAAAAACAAGAATGACATTGGGAGGTTTTTCGCAGAACAACGCAGGCCGAGCAGGTATGTTTAATCTTTCTATTACTTCATATCTTCAGCTTCGGACTAGTTTGGCTCTAGTTTGCTATTTGTTTGTCCGAGTTAACATAAACTGCGCAGAAACTAAATCTGTAACAAAGAAAGGCTGACATGGTTAAAGTAACAATCACCTCCCACATCTTGCTGTTTGATAATTTAGCCACGGTTTATTGGTTTGTTTTCTCTAAAACCGACACTAGAAGAAACTTACCATCTAAAAGAAAACTCTATTAGCGTCAGTTTAGCTTCCTGTCCTCGATATTTAGCCATAATATGATTAGAGACTACTCATTTCATAGAAACTGAAATTGAACTTATTACATTGATTATGTTGTGTAAGGACATTTCCGGTTTACCGTTTCATTTCGTGTTCCATTTGGGTTTATACTAAGTTAAAAAAATTACCTTGCTTTTGTACTTTCGGTAGCCTTGAATTTTGCCACGAAAAAAATTAACCCTAAACCTTTGTTTCATTTTCGCAGCTTTTTTGAATTTTATTCGTTAAACTTGTGGAATCTCAACCGCTTACGATAAATTGTAATTGTTATTTTCCACCATAAAAGTTAATTCTTCTATTTGGAGTCCAAATTCTTCTTATATTATTTCTGTTGGTGAGCATAAAAGGTAATTTGTTGTTGTGGAAAGAGATGCCATTAGTGGTATATTATCACGTAGGTCAGCTGGAGATCTTCCTGAGGGAACAGTGGGTCAAAGTGGAGGTGAGGCTGAACGAGGAGTCCCTCACAGTCCAGGCCGAACAGACGTCCGAACAGTCCACTGGCTCTTCTCAAGGTCCGTTATCAACCACATAAAATCATCGGAAAAATCCACATACTGATATATTAAGTGATACATGTAGTAAGTGATTACAGTACGGATATATTGATACTATTGGGATGTAAGCTTAAATTTATTATACAGCCATGTTCGATTAGGACTTGGATAGTTTCATTTTGAGACCTGATTTGCATGCGACTGGGCTCAAATTCAGTGATAATAACTCTTTTTTGTTTTGTTTACACTTGCGAAGCAATGTGTTATAGTACAAACTTTCTTTTTTCCAACCTTAGTCGCAAATTTTGTTGCGACTACTATATTTGCTGCAATATTTGCTGCATCGAATTGGCTTGACAGCTTATTTGTTGCACCTTTACAGTTTATTGATAACATGTGCTTTGACATTCGAATAGTTTACACATAAGTTTACGCAGCTGATGCATTTTTAATTCACCAAGTGAGCCAAAAAAAGCTATTTGTTTCAAAGAATATAACAATAATAAAATCTCGGTTCAGAAATTTTCTAACTGAATGTGTCTCGTAATTTTTTGAAGTGCATAATTTATACATAATGTGGCTTCATGATTTGCAATTTATTACACGCAATTTTTTTTATCTTTTTTGTATTTGGTGCTACTTTTGCTGCATCGAATTGGCAATTTTTAGCATATGTACGTGCGTTAATGGTGGCTAGCTTTTGGGGATTTTAAGCAATCGGCTGAATGGTTAGTGCGTGAGACTCAAATTTAATAGGTCGTAGAATTTTGGTAATTCGAGTTATTGCCAAGCCTCGAGTTTTTGCAAATTCGAGGCTTATTTCTACTTTTTCTTATGTCACTTGATAGAGCTGCTTTTTAGTCGTGTTCTCGCAAGTGTTTGCGAAGCAAAGCTTCGCCTCTGTGTAACTTATGTTTGCGTTTCCCTATTCGTTTTCGTCAAGTTTCTGTTTTTTTTTTTCTAACTTACATGACCCCCAAAGTTGATAAATCCTCTGCATTCCTCAAAAAGAATTATGTATACGCTTTGTCGGCCCATTTGTAGTTTTCAGGATATAATTAGCAGTTTTGCGAGCATTGTTCTCCCTTTAATTAGTAGAGCATTAGCGAGATGAAGAAAAATAGATGAAAAATCAGTTTTAGCGGCTGAAGTTGTCGCAAAATTGTTTGTTAGTACTTTTTACAATTCTTGTCATGTTCTTCTACCGTCTGATTTGATAATGGAATGGAAGTTAGAGAAAAAGAATATCTGAATGTTTCCATTTTTTCTCTTGATTAAAAAATGAAAAAAAAATCACAGGACTTTAAGCTATAATGAGCTAACTTCCGATCTATTTTTCAAAGACGAGAAAGTTTTTTCAAAGGCAAAAAGTTTTCAACTTGGCGAAAATGAGAAAAAAGTAGCTAAAATAATTACATTTTTGTGTTTTATGTCAGCTAGTTAGCGAGATTAGTTATCTCCTCGTGATATTGGACCGAGCTAAAGGTGGGGTAAGGGGGATGCTAAATTTTCTGATCCTAAAGACGACATAATCCAAACAGTAATTTTGTTCAGCTAAGCTCCTACTTTTCGGCTCAATGCTGTTTTTTGCGTCTAGTATTTTCGCGTAGTTCGATTGGTCAGGCTGTGGTAGACCTGGAGCTAGAGGTCAAATGAGAGACATGGCAGGGTATCGAATACTTGATCTAGCGTTCTTTGCGTGAAAGCATTGCCACTATGCGAAGTGTCTCTGAACCCTTACTGTACTGTCTAAACTTCTCGGAAAAATGTTTGCAGTTTTTTGAAGTAAACAAACTATAACTCGGGCAATTTACGTGGCTTTAAAATAGCGCCAAGAGTTTTCAATGTGATATGATTCTCTGTCAATATTTCTAGTTTAATTTTGTTTGTCCATAGCAACTTCATCCCAATAGATAGTTTTTGTGTTCTTCTCGAAGCAACCATCTGCATTCCAATGTTTTAAGTTAATGCTTCCGGACTCTTTGAAACTAATTAATCTGCAAACTGGGCTGTAATTAGTGCCACAGTGTATACACCAGTTGCTTTTGCTGAATGGTCTTGACTTCTGAGTATAGACAGCAGAGCAGTTGGCAGTGCGCGCCTAGTCGATTGGCTTTCTTGAGTTTCTTGGCTAATTCCAAATTAAGAGCTGAAATCGTTTTCGACTCCTCCTGATCGTTGGCATTTCTTTTTGGCATTAACATTGTAAAAGTAGGGCCTCGCGAAGTATTCATCACTTCGCTCTCTTCCTTCTCCCCTCTCCTCAAGTAATGCTGTAACAATTATAAATATTGTGACTTTTCTAAATGTAGTTGTAGATGATCGCCTGTTTTTTCTGCCTCTGTATTATCAGTGCTGTTTAAATATCAAAAAAAAATAACTGATGTTGCATCACTTTTCCCCAGTTTGTCGTATCAATTCTCATTTTTTTTTACTTGTGAAGCGTTGATCTCTGTTTTCCGAGAGTAATTGAGTGCAATAAGTTTCCATTTGATTTTTGTTACCACAGTTTGACAGCCTAAACTAGCTTTTTCAATCTGTTTTTCGTTTGAAGATCTAGTTGTGTTCTTCCATAACATTTGTTGAATTTTTTTTATTCTTTTTTTTTCAGGGTTCCGTCTACTTATTAGTTTTATGAAAAGAAAGAGCATAAAAAGCTTACTTTGATACATTTCTTTTATAAAAAGCGTAAGTACAGGAAAAGTTGTGGGCATTGACGCTTTTCTTATTGCCTGTTGCTGGCCGTGTTGAAGAGTCGGTGAATGTAGTTCGGTGAAGTCGGTCTCATATAGGTCGATGATTATTTTTGGAAAGGTCGAAATTTGTGTACGCTCAATTTTGAATTTTCGCGGTTAGACTTTTGATTTTTTTCATGTTTACTTCATTTTGTTTGTTAAAAGGAAGGCAAGCCCCACTATCAGAAAGTAAAAGTGTAAAACAAGTCCAGGAAAACAAGTTTTTTCAAGAAAACAAGTTTTTTCAAGAAAACCTTGCTTTTCCAAGAAAACAAGTTTTTTCAAGGAAAGGTTTTTTTGTTTTTTTATTCTGTTTTTGTGTCAATCAAATATTCTTTCAAAAGTGAATCAATTGTTTAGGGCAAGAGGGTGGGCCTGGCGGGGGAACGACGGACAATCTGGTGGCCTCTTACCCCACCCCAGACGAGAACACGCCTGATGCAGTATCCAATCAGAAGAGGTCACTTCTACTCAGTTGCATTTCATAACATCAGCTAATGCTAATCACATATCGTTGGGGGCAAACACGTTCTTAGTAAAACGGCATTCACTATCTTTTATCTGTCAATTTTTCTCACTGAATTATATCTGTCAATGCTATCATTTAATTAAGTGTTATGTTTGATTAAGTAGACGTATCGCAATAATGGCAAAAAATGCGTATGATCAGTGGCGTTCGCAGCAAATGTTTGCATGGTGAGGGGAGAATTGTGAGCGGAAAAGGGCGGGGGCATTAAAATAGTTTGATGACTAGAATTGAGATGGAGGGCTTTCGCTCTCCCCTAGTCACACTACTGCTCATTATATACGTGTTACCAATATTTTGTCAATTGAAAATATGCAGATGCATTCATGTCTCTTAGGATTTGTGGATCCCATCTCAAAATCTATGATCAGAAAAAGTATAAGTAGAAAAGGCAAATTAAAGCACCACGGGATGTTTGATGCGCTCTGGAACAGAAAATTTATATTCAACTACAATTAATTTTATTTTTATTCTTTTTTATCAGGTATTAAAAAATAGCATATTTACCGAGTTATCAAATTGGCTTAGTTTTTTTAAATTGAGATACAATAGCGAATTTATCAAAAAAGATATTTGCTTTATTGTACATGGACACTTTTACAACAGTCGGTTGGCTTTCGATTACTGAAAATACTAAATTAGAATAAAAACTCCTCTTTTCATTATCATTTTTGAATTAGTGAGAACAATCAATCTATCCTGATCCAAAAGTAAGAACAAAAGCATCGTTCGAAAATAGCCTTCAAATGCTCGTCAGTAACATTCGTCGAAGGTTCGAACATTCGATATTTAATTGGGCTCTTGAAAAAAATGAAAATCACTATTTAATTGAAAAATTTCCAATTTTCACGCAGAATATTTTAAATGTTTTCACGATCTCCTGTAAGTGTTGCCCTTTTCTTGGTAAAAACGTTTTCAGCAGTGCTGAAAACAGGCTTAAACGGGGCCTTTTAGAATGGTATGCAGAAAATTTTCCTCGCCAAAGTAGTGAGTCTTGGATACTTAGTGTAAACAACTCAATAACACGCAGGTCAAAATCGCGAGAGCTTTCGAAAGATTTTTGTCGAACAAACGTTCAAATATCGGTCGCATCACTAAATTTTAGACAGAAATTGTTCTTTGGTTCCTATAATTTGGCAATAGTAGCGTTAGATAAATTTCACCAAGTGATTTTTTGAGGACGTAATTTTGAAAAGCAACCGATGAGTAGTCTTAAATCGCTTATCGTTTTTTACACAATTTTTTGCTTTCGTAACTAACAACGCACTAACAACTCAATTCCTTGAAATTCAACGAGCTAACTTTACAAAAGTCATCTACATATACATACAGAATTACGAATATAAATAATTTATTCCTAGGATTTAATTTGAATAGCTAAAAATGCAACCTTGTTAAAAAAAATTACAATTGTAGGTAACGAAATAAATTAGAAACCAATGTTTTCTTACACCTTGAGAAATAGCTTGGAAATAAATGATTGATGTAGATACTGAAGCACGTGTTTACCCTCACTGAAGTTTCATGGATAATAGTTGATTATGTTGCATTTTTTTAGTCTATCACTCAAAAATTTGAAAAAAAAAAATTATACTTTATTTCAATTCGTGGTTAAGCTATATCGTATATTCCAATGCTTAAGATTTTTTTTTCGATTTTCCAGTTTGAATCTAATGTTTGTTCCAGCTAGCTAAAAGTTAGCAACACAAAAGTGGGGTTGCGAGTTCGTTCTCCAATTCAGTAAAGTTGATTTTTTTTTAAAAAGATTTAATTGAAATTTGAAGCCCCCTTCCTTGTAATGGGAGGCTGTCAAATTATTTTCAGTGGTTGCGAATCTTACCTCCGAATATGACTGCTCAGTTTTTGTAGTTCTCGAGAAAAGACGTTTTTTGCGATTTTTTCTAAAAAGTTTTCAGAAAACGCTTTCAGAATTCTCAACGCTTTAGTTAGGGCCTGTCTGATCACTCGAAGGCTTTGCGAATCTCGCCTCCATATATGACTGCTCAAGTTTGTAATTTTTGAGACATCATGTAGTTGAGTATTGTGAGAGTACTCTCAGGAGTTGCAAGATTTGTGTCCAAATGCGACTGCTCAAATGCTTTAAATTTTTCATGTCATTTTAAAATTTTTCAAAGATTTTAGATAAAAAGAATTTCACACAATTTAATGGGTTTTCAAAATTTGAATTTAAACAACTCATAGAAAAAATCTTATCAAAATGTGAAATTGCGAACCCTTTTATTGAGTGATCTTTCGTACACTGAAATGTTGCCGATCTTTTTTCAATATATGCGGCTTTTTTGGAGTTCGAAGCACCAGGGTGCCTTACACGCTATTCGATTTTAACTGATTAGAAATGGATCAAATGGTAATGTTTTTCGAAGCAATAAAATCCATTTTTAATTGATTATAAATATTAGAATATTTTAAACTTATTTTGATAAAAAATATATCGAACGAAACATAATCCATTATAACCATAGTCTTGAATTATAATTATAGTCTTAAAATTTGTTCGTGCTCAAATTTGATTTTTGGCGGTTCAACTTTTGATTTCTTCTCAAGTTCAGTTCATTTTCTTTTTTTTGCAAGTACGACCCTTTTTTTCTCTAACCTAACTCCTAAATAAAAGTGTCCATTGAAAGTGTTCAATTATATGGAAGTTCTAGGTAGTATTTGTGGCTAGTGTTTGTGAGTAATGAAATGTCCATGGTTAAGTGGTTAATGCGTGAGACTGATAATCTCTACTTTTTCCTTTAGCATTTTGTAGAGCTACTTTTTGTCGTGTTCTCGATATCATACCTCTGCTTTTTATATAGGTATGTGAAAGTGGTGAAGGAAGAGGTGGGTGGTCTGGGCATCTCGATCAAGGGAGGAAAAGAAAATAACATGCCTATTCTGATCAGCAAGATCTTCAAGGGACTAGCAGCTGACAAGACCAATGCACTGTACGTGGGAGACGCCATTCTGTCTGTGAACAACGAGGATCTCCGCAATGCCACTCATGATGAGGCAGTCAGAGCTCTGAAGAGAGCGGGCAAGGAAGTAGAGCTAGTTGGTGAGTAGATTTTGACCAAGTAAATTATGACCAAGTAAGATTATGAACGAGTAGATTATGACCAAGTAGATTATGAACGAGTAGATTATGACCAAGTGGTTATGAACGAGTAGATTATGACCGCATCTTACGAGCTGCTCAGCTCTTTACGGAGAATAGCTGTTGTGGCAGTTAGAGAACTACATGCAAATGTTTTGGTTGTTGTTCTCTGCTGAGAACTGATCCTTGAAGAACCCTTTACCTTTCGATACCTCTAGAAAAACCTCAAGTTGTCGATTTAAGAAAGGTCAATTAACAGGGGCTTTGCATTACGCAACGTTCATTGCATTGTAAAAGTTTTCAAGCTATTAGAAGATTATTATTATTTTTTGCCCCTCTTCTTGTACTAAGACTTGCATTCTTCTGGATTTGCTTTCTTTGTTAGATTTTTCTGATGAATTTAATTTGGTTGAATTACTACTGATGTTATTGATAATTTAGCTTCTCTAGTGCTATCTTTTTCGCTATCTATGCGTTTAAACAAAAGTTTTGGTGATTGAATTCTGGTTTGGTTGAGCAGCACTTGAAGAAGTGGACTTTATAAGTTTTGTGTGAAAGCCTGATTACCCGTTACAGACAGTTAAGCTTCTATTGGTTTTCTTGAACTATCGCTAGTATTCGTGAAACTGTTCGTTCGATATTAAAACTGGCATATTTTTTTGCGAAATTCCATTAGATAGTTTGAGAACGGTTTTCATATCTTGCTGCGAAAACCGTTCGCAGCAAACCGTTTTCATAACTTGAAGCGTGTTTGATAGGCTTCTATTGAATGCGAACTGTTCCTACTGATGCAACTGCTCTAACACGTCTCCTGATTTAAACTGTACGCAATATTGCAGATGGTTTGTTTAGTGCGATATCTCAAAGAGATTACACCCTACTTCAAAAAGAATTTCCAGCTGGACGGAATTGGCTGGCAACTCGACAACAGACGACCCATGTCCAAACCCGCTCCCTCGGGCGACATCAAAATGATCCCCCTTGCTTGGGCTATCCTCGGCAGACCCTCCAACGAGTTCTTCGGGGGTTCCGAGGGTCTAGACGGACTCGGAAATAGCAGCATGTTCGAACTGAAAGCACCAGACGAGAGATTCTCGGTTATTTTCAGATGCAGAGACACGCAGCAGGCCAATGCATGGTTCAATGCCATTCAGGGCAATTTGTTAGCTGTGAACGAACAGTGCGCAAGAGAAGCTAATGTTCTTCTGGCAAATTCTGACTTTCAGAAGCAGATTAAACTCATGGGCTGGCTGCATGAAAATGTAAGTTAGTTTTCAAAGTATTTAGTTGTTAAACATATCCATTCCTGTGTGTCGAGGAAGATATCAACGTTCATACACAATAAGTTAGCCCCAGCCGGCTTTGGAGGGGAAAGATATTATCAGCGACGTTCAAAAATGCATGGATCTTCCGAACTTGATGATCTTGAAAAAAGGGGAAATTGCTCGCAACGTTTAAAATTCATTAAGCTGAACTGTTAGATAATTAGATAATTTATCGGGGGTTCTATGGAAGTTCTCTAGTAGGTAGCATTGAGAGTAATACTCCATAAGACCTTAATTGAACGATGAAAAAATCCTGCATGAAAAGTTTGCTAGCTGAAATGTTTAAATGGCCAGTTTGTTCATCTTGCGATGAAACTTTCATAAATTAGTTCTGCAGCAGTTATTTGATATCACGAAAGTCTACATAATCTATCATCAATTAGTCTATTTCAAAACAGCGAAAGTTGTTAGGGGCTAACTGTTTCTAGCATATAAAACATTTAACATGCTTCTAAATGAGCTTTAAAAAATAATGAACTGGGTCAATCTTAAGCAGCAGAAGAAGAATAGTAAAAACCAATTAATTTAAAGTGAGTTGGATGAGGTCGGGTTGAGCCCTTTGTGGGGCGCCAAATGTCAAATTTTGAACCCATGTTGCCGTCAAGGCGATGTGGATTGAGCGAAAATGTAAAATGAATGTTTTTAAATAATATAATTCGAGTGTCAAATCTTCGTCCATCAAAAGCAATTTAAATTAATCAGTTGAAATCACTCTAAAACTTGAAATATTTAAATTGATAGTATTTCTGCTATAAGTACTATTTCTGAGTCAGTTTTAACAGTGCTTCTTTCTTATATTATGCCAAAAATTATGATATACATCCGCTTACTCCAGTAAATTTAGTGTTGGAAGTTATTCAGTGTTGAAAGTCGTCTTGGGAATAGAAAGCTTCAAAAATTCAGAAAAAAAATTATTTGCTTTTTGCGCGATTATCTCGTTGATTTCTAATTGCACTTCCTCGAGTTGCCTCATGTTTTAAACGCTAGCATGTGTCTCGATCGGATATAGCTTTTCATGGCCCAATAACGTCAAGATCGAAAATTTTCTATTTTTGCTTTGAATGGCAACTTCAGATGATGTTCAGCCGAGTTCAGGATCCTAGTTCAGATTCTTATATAAGTCGTGATGTTCTTATATAGGTCGTGATGTTCTTATATAGGTCGTGATGTTCTTTTATAGGTCGTGATGTTCTTATATAGGTCGTGATGTTCTTATAAAGGTCGTGATGTTCTTATATAGATCGTGATGTTCTTATATAGGTCGTGATGTTCATATGTAGGTCGTGTTGTTCTTATATAGGTCGTACTGTTCTTATATAGGTCGTCATGTTCTTATATAGGTCGTGATGTTTTTGTATAGGTCGTGATGTTCTTATATAGGTCGTGATGTTCTTATATAGGTCGTGATGCTGGCTATGATGATTGACCATATTTATTGATGGAGTATTTGCAAGTTTCGTTTTAGTTCTGAGACAGGTCAAGTATTTCCGCCGTTTTTTTTTCAGGTTAGCTGCTATTTTGGCTGCTATTTTGATTTTGATCTTTACAAGCTGTCTTTCTGCTATTCTTACTCTTTTAAGATTTGATTGTGCCTCTTGAAGTCGGCGTAACAATGGTTTTCCCTTAAGTTCTTCAAATGTCTATTTTTATACAACGCTTCTAGATGGTATACATGAAAGCTGAAATTCCTGTTTGATAAAAACACGTATTATGAAAATGTATATGATGTATAAAAATGTGTTTTTATTATTTTGTAATTATTATTTTTTGAGACGCTTTGGAAAATTTTTCACTTTTTTAAAGAAATAGTTTTCCTCAAAAACAACTCGGCCAATTTTTAAAAAGTAGTATTAATTTGGAAGTCCGCCCACTACCTTGTGTGAATGAACAATTCCCTAGGCTCTTTTTACCTTGCCCCACTTTCTACAGCCGTCGGGGGGAACCCAATTTTTGGATTTTTTACGTTTTCTCAAAAACTACCCTCAAAAACTGGATAGGTTGTAGGAAGTTTCAATTTTGACCGTTTTTTCCAAATTTTTTTACTTTTCGCGAAAACTACCCTCCCTTATCTGAGATTTTGGAGTGTGAGCGATTTTGTCCAATTTTTTACTCATAAGTTCTGGCCCTCGGAAAAATCAAATTTTCGATTTTCTGACCGTTTTTTGAAACTTTTTGAATTTTCTAGAAGTATGCCACACCTGGATTTTTGGGTTAAATCGAAATTACAGATTGAGTGATTCAGCGGCTTTGACAAAATTTTTGGTACAAAAAATTATGGCCGTCAGAAAAGTCATTTTTGATTTTTGATCGATTTTCGAAACTTTTCTCAAAAAGTACCATCCGGAATCTGAGTTTTTGATGGGAAGCTTTTCTTCATCAGCGGCTACGCCCAATTTTTTTACGCAAAAAGTTATGGTTCTAGCAAAAAGTTATGGCTCTAGGTTTACTTCTCGAGTGTTTTGTTTCAGTAACCCATTTAAAATTCCATTTCGAAGGGCGTAAATGAAATTTATAGCGAAATTTTTGCCTTTATGATTGAGAGTGTTTGGTTTTTATTTTTTTTGGCTGTGAAAGTGCGTTCAATTTGTTAAGGAATTTATTGCACAAAATTTAATCAGCTTAATTTTTTTCATTATGTTTTCTTTCATAATGATGTTCAGCAGTTGACTTTTAAATTCATTCAAAGTAATAGCACAACGTATTGTTCTAGTGTCTTCTATAAAATTGGTGTCTTTTGAAGTAAAAATGTATAAAAATCAAGAAATTGTTTTTCCAACTGTGACTGCGGGGTCTTGTGTACGGAAGTATTTGAGTTCAAGAGTGTAGTTGAAGTTCAAGAACTTTTTAGTCATTAACTGATCTTTTTGTTTCTTGTTATATGTTTTAGTAGAGATCAATTCTCGCACCATTGCGTATTCACTTCATCCTTGATAAGGTTGATGTTGGTAGTTTAATATCATTTGCTTACAGATTTTCTATTTAGCAAATTCTTAGAAACTTTTTTTGATTTTCGTTTTCAGCTTCTGTTTTTTTATATTAGTTTATAGCAGACAATGGATGGAGTCTTTTGATACCTCCAAATTTTTGAGTTTTGAGCAGACGATTTCAGCAGAATTAGTTTTGGGTTTGTATCCCAAGTGGCGCGAGGCTCCGCTTCGACACTGGGTATGGTTTTAAGTTCGAATGATGATGATTTCAATTGGATGATGATTTCAATTGGCTGATGATTCCAATTGGGAAAACACCGGTTTTAAGCTGAATTTATTAAGCTCTCTGAGTAAAATTTGATCTATTGTGTTTTTATTATTAAATTGGCATGGTTGCTAATAAACTCGTATTAGTGAAAAAGCGGTGCTTTCTATTTGTTCTGTTTGAAGATTAATTACTGAAGGTAATTAGAATTTTTGGTTTTGTAAAATGTTTTTACGGTTTTTTGTATGCTTCTTTTCCTTATTAATGAGCCACTTCATGTTAACTGATTCCAATTGATTGATTTCACTATCATTAGCTTAGCACTCTTAGAATTTTTGGGTAAAAACAATTTACTGTGCTCAATTGCGTTTTGGCGTTGAAAAGCTTACTTCGTGGAATTGAACTTGAAATCTTGTTGTTGGTATTATTTGTTGTTGTGAAGGCACTCCTCGAAATCCTGTCTGATCATTCGACGATATTTAAGCTCAGCTGAATTATAGTTTATAATCGTTTTTGCATGTTTTTGTTTCTCTCAATACTCATGGTAACGTCGGTACATGAACGAGTATACTTGACAATACACTGTTTTGGTCCTTTTTTATATTTCCTAAATCATCAGAGAACTCGAGTGCATGAAGTAGCTTCCTTTTTTACATGCGAAGCGTAATGTAATATTACGAAGAATTTTTTTACGAGAGGTTATTTCCATGCTTTAGTAGACAAAAGTTTTTGGATTGGGGAAAAGTCAATATTTGAGTTTTTGATCATTTTTTGGATTCTTTTTCACTTTTTTCGAAAATTACCCAGCCAAATCTGAAAGAAATAATTTACTTGAAAGAGATAGTAATAGTTTTCTCCTTCAAATAAGCGGCTAATCCCCTAATCTTAAGGGTTCTGCGTAAAGTCCATTTTTTGAATTTTTTTAAAATAACGCATTTCTGTATCAGTACAACATGATTGAAAATATTAAAACAGGCGGATGTAGCATTAGCTGGGCCACTAGTTTAACCCCCTGCCGACCCAAAGGGACCCATTTTGATACTTTTTCAGAAATTCATTTTTGGCCGACCGACCCTAAAGTTTTTCTAAAGGCGCCTTAGGCGCCAATATATGCTAACTTTGAGGGGGAGCACGCGCCGAAAAAAACGCGATTTTTTTGTCAACATTTTTCAAAAAGTGCCCGAAATCTCAGCAAAAAAAAATTCTCAAGTAGTATTTTTAGTCTTTCCTCTTGCCCTAATCACTTTTTTTGCTCTTTTTTGCACTTTCTTCGCTTGTGTTTGCAAAGCGCAGCTTCGCCTCTGTGTTGAACTCAGATTCAAGTGTTAAAGACAACATGGATTGTGGTCTCAGACCCTTGATCTAAGCAAATGAAGCTCTATTATTATTATTTTTAAATAATCAACGCCAAAAAAATTGAACGGCTGAGAAAAAATTTATTTGAAAAAAATAATAGTAATAAAAAAATTTTTCTTCAGGAAAAGTTTTAAAATTTGTTCAGGCTTAAATTGCTTTTTTCGCTGTTTGACTTTTGATTTTTTTAAAGCTCAGTTCGTTTCTTTGTTAAAAAAAGACAGACTCCACTATCGAACAGCGAAAGTGTAAAGGTCACCACAAACGCGATTAACTTGTAGTTTTGAAAGTGGAAATTAATTTTCAGATTTGCCAGCGGAACAAGAATTCACCTATTGATCCAGTATTCTCAAATCGGGTCAATTTTATCGAAAAAGTGCCAATCATAAATTGCTCTGGAAATTCGAAGAGCTTAAGGACATCTATTCATTTTGGAATTCGGAAATTGAGATTTTTTCGAAGTCAGTATTTTTTGTTTTCTTGCGTTCATTGACTGACACGGTAGATAAAAAGCAGCCTTAGCTTCAGGGTATTCATAGATGCATTTTATTGTAGAGTATTTTAATGGGTTGTTAGGTTGTGGACCAAGTGAGTGGATCGCAGTCGTGGCGTCTGGTGTTCGGGGCCATTCTGGACCACGATTGGAACCTCTACCGGACCCCTCCCACCACGGCGGAGGAGTGGGCCAAGCCCATGACTGAACACAGACTCATTTGCACAAGGTCAGTCTTCACTGTCCTACTTTTTCCTAATGCAAATAAAACTCTTCACTCGACTAGTTAGTTTGTGTTTATTACGAGGCCTCTTTTTTCAAAACGAAGTCGCACATTTTTGGGTGCAACTCTTGTGTGCCATATATACTCCAAAGTGAGGCAAAAATTCCTATGAGGCGATAATTTGATAACGCGACAATTCGTAACCGGCGACAATTCGTAACAGGCGACAATTCTTAACAAGGGACAATTCGTAACAAGCGACAATTCGTAATATTAGATTAAGCGGGAACACTGATTCACGCGGAGTATTCTTCTCTTGCCGGATGTAAGCGAAGCGGAGCAAGCGTATTCTGCTTGCCAATGCCTTGGTACGAATTGTCGTCTGTGATGAATTGTCTCCCAATCTTACTCCAAGGTTTTTTCTACTAGGATTTTGAGGTAGAGCGAATTAACATGACGGAAATAAAACAGTTTAAAATATTTATAAGGTACATTAATAACCTTAAGTCTTTTGGGCTCATTAGTTTATGTAAAGTGAATGTATTAATTGCTGACTACAAGTATTAGATAACGATGCTTGCTTAGCCACTAAATTTCCACTTATTTTTTAAAAATACTTCGCGCTTTGGTGCTAAAGTCAGGGGTGTCAGACTGATAATGTGGTCGTCAGAATTCTTAGAGTTTCAAGATAATGCTGGTTCAAAAGTGTGTGAAAAAATATATAATTTTATTTTTGTTTAACTTTTTGGTTTTTCCTGTTCATTATTTTACTTTGTGTTGTCTATTACTATCTAGGTTTCAATTGTACTATACAACATGGCAGTATCAGTAGCTGTGAGTTTTTTTGTAGAATTGCTTATGTTCGATAAATAGATTTCATTGAAGAACTTATTTTGTTCAAATTTCTAATGTTTGATATTTTAGTATGCCTTTCGGATATCTTCTCGAGCGCTAAGTTATATCTTCAAATAAACTTAAAACTCTTAGTTGTACTTATTCTCATGACGATTTCATTAGCATATCCTTCAAAAAGAATCCTTTGCTTTTGAACTGTCTCATTAAGTTATGAATAAAATATGAGTTTCTTATCAATTGACAGAGGTTTCAGTTTTGGTTTCATTAAATTTATCTAAAAGTTGAAATGTTTTTTCATGCCCAAAGCAGATAATAAGGCAGAGTCCTGTTTTTGTATCTTTCTGTTTAAGGTCTTAAGTTATAAAAGCGTTAGATTAATTTCAACCAATTAGATTCAACCTTGTGGACGTATGACCAAATATCAAGATGATCGGTTTTGGACTTTGTGTTAAAAATAACCCGTGTTTTTGTGGTGCTCCATATTTTTTTCTCGTGAATTTAAAATTTTAAAATATCGTGTTAAATATAATTTTTGTCACCAGGGTTTTACATTGAAACTGTAGCGTCTCCACCATTAAGTATCTGTAATAAGTTACGATTTGTTAAATTTTGTACTTATGTGATTTTTTGTTTTTTTTCTGATATTTTAAGTGAAATAACTTCTTGTGTTGCAGACTAGTGCACAGTGGTGCTCCGAGTGCGGAGCGGAAGACGAACTTCTACACGTTCACCACGCGCACAGGCACCAGACACGGGGTGGAGGGCCACGTGATGCGGGTAGAGACCCAGCAGGACTCCTCAATGTGGACCAGAGGCATAGTGGAGGGCGCCCATCTGTCAGCACAGACTCTGGAGACTGTACACATCAGTGAGTGATTACTGGATGTCGGTTTTTAGGTCCCGTTCGTACTCAATGCGGGACCAGTCGTGGGGAAGGAGGATGTCATCCGTTTTGCGGTAATGGGATGACACTGGGACCCCTCCAACCGTGGCCGAAGTGGGATTCGAACACACTAACCACTGGCTGATGTTGTTCGGGTTTCATTTTTAGAAACGGATCTGAAATTAAAACAGCAATTATCAAAGACTTCAGAACATATTTTAAATTAAATGCTTAGCACTCAATCGAAAAAAGTGAGGTACGTGCGTACACTAACCAGTGTCTTACCAACTTGAATCGGGCACCCAAATTTGGAAGTTTTCAAATAGTACTAAATGGGTCGGAATTTGGTCAAATCCCTGTTGAATAAATCAGCCTCGCGTAACTTTGACTCGGTGATGATCTGTGTGTCTTCAATATGTGTCCACTTGCACTTGTTTAGATGTTGTATGGCGTGGCAGTGCGTGCGTTCTGACAGTGCATTATGAGAATGGCTTCTTCCTCGACGACCAGGCCTCCTCTCAGCAACTGTGGCAGTATCCCTTCGAGAGACTCCGCTACTCCTCCGACGACTCTCAGAGACGACTCATCCTCGATTTCGGAGGACAGGACGGAGAACACGTTAGTCATTTTATTCACATATTGTTGCTGTTTTAAGCTCGTTCAATTCATTTAAGGTACTCTTGAAACAGATTGCTTGCTTGGTTACATTTTGTTATTTGGATGACAGGTTTGTGTCGGTGTCATATTTGTTCTTTTTCAGTACTTTGGTTCAGTTGAACTAGAGGTTGATGTTATTCACGTCATTGGTTTCATCATAAATGAAGAAATTTTTTCGATGATCCTCAAGTTGGTTCAAATAAGTTGAAGACCATAATTAAATCATGCATTTGACGTTAAGATGGAAAATTGTAGCTGTTTTCATGGAAACTGAATTTGGTAGAAAATATTTTGCTTCAGGATATCGACGTTCAGACGAATCCGAAACCACTGGTATTTATTATTCATACTTTTCTCTCCGCCAAGGTCACAAGGCTCGGTCTCATGGCATGAATAGTGCAGTGCTGAAAGATACCAATCGACCGTCTGATAAAAAAAGTAACCTACAATTGGCATCACTAGCCAGTTTGTTCGATTGAATTATTAACTAATTTGCTGAAGACAAGTGAACTTCACTGCATTCCAAATTGTGCATTTAATCGTGCAGTCTCGTATAGTTCAATCTATTTTCAATTATTTTTACGCGTTTCATCTTTGTCACATTCTGGACTATTTGTTTTTAAAAGTTGTATATGCTTGAGATTTTAGGTTAATCTGTAATATTTTATATAATTCATCACTTTTATTGTCAATTTACTTGTTAGATTAACAAGGCAGTGAAATGTAAATTATGGAACCAAAAGCTTTTTAATTGCTAATTTGTAATAAAATTGATATAGTTTAATTTTTTGTACTTACTTATTTGTCAATTTTGCATTAAAATGGATATTCGTGGTTCTTTTGTAAATTGCCCGATTGAGAAATCATGATGATGGTTTATGCCTGCGGATCTTGAGCTTTATCTAATTGCATTTTATGCTTTGGGATTTATAACAGCTTGAGCTGCATCGGATTAAGTTAAACAAGACTGCTCTTCAGGGGCGGATTTAGGGTGGGGGGGGGGGGGTATGGGGGGAGAGAGAGAGAGAGAGTCTCCCCTTTGAACTGTTTTGAGATGTCCATTTTTGGCTGATGGACCCTAAAATTTTTCTAAAGGCGCCTTCGGCGCCAATATATACTAAATTTAAGGGTGGAGCGCGTTCCGAAAAAACGCAATTTTTCGGTAAAAAAATTCCAAAAAGTGCCTAACAACGCCTTTTTGGCCTGTTTTTTCAAAGTGCAGAAGAAATTTTGGCCAAAACAGGGTCTTTGTAGTGCTTTGGGAGAGCTCGGAAAATCAATTTGGTCGACCTAAAAAAAGGTCGACAAAATTTTCGAATTGTTTTTGAAAATCCGCCCCCTTGAGAAAATCCGCCCCTGCTGCTCTTATCAGGGCGAAAGCTTGAATGTTCCTATTGGCTTTAATTATCAATGGAATAGTGTTCGCTTTCGAAAAAGAAATTTTCACAAAAATGAAAAAATTTTGTTTTAAGATTTTTTTGTGAAAATCATACCCCCATTCCCTATGTTAGTACAAAGTGATATATTGTGCATATAACAAAATATTACATTGACCAAATAGCATGCATCGATTCAATTACTTTTTTCGAGTTCTACTTGAAGTTATCAAAATTGGCTGAAAAAGTATCGAAATGGGAACCTAATCCATAGTTCTTTTTCACTTTGCTAGTGATAGAAACAATGATGCTGAAATTCTCTATGCAATTTCAGCTCAGCAAAATAACTGTACGTTATCTTTGTCGCTTGTGGACTAATTCTCGCGTATTGTTATTCCGACCATAAAATGTGGGGAGGAGCTTTGTATTTTGGTGTCTTTAAGTTTTTTTGTTTTCCATCCAAAGTCAGATACTAAAATAATTATTGGAATGGGTCGAGTCATATATCATATTTACACTTGCGAGCAGCGTAGTGTTTTAGTACGAACCTTTTTTTTAACCTAACTCGCAAATAAAAGTTCATTAAGTGTTCTTCAAAATAATATCTATTCAAATTAATGGCACATCAAATTTTTCACAAATTTCCAACATTTTCTGCTTTTAAAAATCCCACGTTTGGATTTTTTAGGACCATTTATCCCAGTTTTGTCTGCATAGTTACCGCAAGATAACTTTTCATGCTAGTTAACTGCTGGTTGTTGTGGTCCGCCACTGCTGGTTGTTGTGGTCCGCCACTGGTTTTCCTCAAAATGCGTTTCATTTGGAGACAAACCTATAAAAACTTTGGGTGTTGTTTTAGCGTTTTTCATACAAAAAATATTGTCATATTAGCTTATTTTATCCGTAATGTCGAATATGTTTAATTTTTCGTTCAGATCCTCAGCTCCGTGAGATTGAACCAGCGAATCATATTCCTGGGCACCATCACTACAGTAGCGCCACAATTTAATTCCCTATTCTTTAACGGAAGATCTATCAGCGTAGCAGAAAAAATTGACAGCAAGTTTTTGAGCCATTTTTTATGGAGAAAATGCAGATAATGCTCCGATGGCGAACTTGCTGTACGCTTTGAACCCAATCTATGATTGTATAACGAGAGTGAGTGTACTTGATAACGGGAGTTATACTTTTTGCCGTAGACAACTTTTGCAATTTATCGCCTTCCTTTTAAAAACTTGACAACTTCCAGGAGACTTCCCACTTGGTCTGATGGTTAAGCGAGTACCTTGGAGTCATTTTTTCCAAATTTATTGAAATGGATTTTTTTGAACAACTTGAATGGTAGGGTCGGGCTTTTTGAATTCATTAAAATTTGAAATTCTTAAAGGATAGAACTTCCTTCCGATTTAAACCATTATAACTATGATTAAATGTTGTTCTTTTATTTGTTTACCAACTCTGATTTTGTATAATTTTCTTTTTTTCCGCGATGGTGATTTTTGCGTTTTTTGTTGGCCTAGTCACCTCATACTCGTTTTTTTTTTTAAAAAAAAGAAAAGAATAGATTTTTTAAGGCTTTTTGTAGGTTTCAGGGTGATGAGCTTGCGAGTTTCAAAATTTTTCATCTCACTTTGTTTTCAACAGTTTTGTCTTTGTAAAATTTCTTTACCTACTTTCTGTTACCATAGCAATTTAACATCACTAAATTTCAAAACCATTTCTAGAACTTAACCAAAATAAAAAAACAAGGTGACTTTGGTAAAAATCATAGAATAAAGCGAGAGAAATGTTTGTCATTTAAAGCCAGACATTTTCGCGCTACTTAATATGCTTGAGTCTTGAACAGAAATGACCTTGCCAATAATTTGAATCGTTAGAAAGATTTGAACCTAAAACAAGCAATCGTTGAAGAAACTTCAAATGCACGCAATTAATTAGACTGTCTTTGACTTAATTGGGTTGATTTTCAAGAGGTTTTAACCGGTACTGTTATTAAAAAATCATTCTCGATCTTACGTCTATAACCTGGTCGTTTTGTTCAGCTTTTTTTCTTCAAATTTTGGCATATGAATGCAAAGCGAAAGGGTTTGCCATCGCCCAGTCCTAACCTAGCATTCTGAAAATAAAGGCGATTGTCGTGGGATTAAATTGCTAGTGCACGAGTCAAGTTGTTGCGTTTAGTTACGCTTTCCTGGTGTCTGAAAGTAGACGTTTTTTCAAGTTCAAATCAGTTTGCCTTCTTAAACGGATATTATGTTTTGTACTCGGGCAATATGTTTTGCATTCAATACACAGTACTTTTTTCGTGATTATGTGGTAATTTGACGCATAAAAAAATTATGCCCACTTATGCCCGCTAAATTTGTGGCCCACTACTTCCGACATAGGGTTGGATCCCGAAATGCCATCCTTCGACAACAATTGTTGTTCTAACAATTCGGCTCACGGCCGCATTTAGCTGGATCCAAAAGGAGGGTTGGAATAAAACTTCACTGCTTGGCACCAGGCTTTTGATATAAGAAGAGCAAAAGTAGAGAAACAGCTTGTCAGTTTTTCAATTTTCGTACTCTAAACAGTTTGTCGCATAAATTCGGAATTTCATTAGGACTCCACGATCTCTTCTCGTTTTCGAATGCAAGGGAAGGCAGCATTTTTAATGCCAGCGCTTAAAACGTGATTGGTTTCGTTGGTCACTTTCTCAGGACTGATTTCATTAATTTTTCTTGTAACTCTGTGAGCGATGGAAAAACACAACCCTATAAATGCGCTCCGGGGATTTTTTGGAAGGATTTAAAAGCAGCTTGTTCGAAATCTAACGAACTTTTTTTCAGGCCGGCAGTTGGGTGCTTAATCAATTAAAGCCTGCAATCGTAGGTTTTTTTTTATTTTGTTGCAAATGAAGACGTATATGCAAGCTGAGGCAAAACCAGAATTACTAACATGGATTTATTATAGCTGATAGAACATTTTCGGCGTGATTTTAAAAGTTCCATCGGCTAACAAGAAACATGATTTTTCCAGAACTCAGCTTTTCGGGGTCACCGCACAAAGAGATTCGATCGTGATCATTTGATCCACTGCCATGTCGGATAAAATTTCCATAAGTTTCAGGGATCTCGAAATTTCGCCTAACGGGCATCGATAGCATATTTACATCTAGCTGCCTAAGTGCGCGCAGCAGTTCGACCAGAGTTTTTCTTCAGTTGGGAGGGCAAACTGAGTGGCCAAGTCTTTTGCAACTGCGACAGTCGGGGTAAATCTCTCGCTGAGATCTTTTAAATGCTTGATGAGGTTTCGTGCATTTTATATTCCCGCTGAATTTTCATGGTTATGCTCCCCTCGCGTCTCGATTAGTTCGTTATTTTCTGTAATAACAGATGTTCGACATTCATGTGTTTGGTATTTCGAGCAAATCTAATTTTTGATAAACTTATTTCTTCGCTTGAAATAAAATTGGTGGCCGGACGCCGCTATAAGAATTGGCTTAATTTCAGACGAAACTGTGAATTCGAAAAAAGACTCAATCATAATTTGTTTTTGGTGTTTGCGTTATATTTTGTCAGAAATATTAAGTCAAGTTATTATGAATTAGCACAAGCAGGTTTTTTTACTAATAATGGTTTAGTGAAACAGCTAATTGAAAATAATGAAAGAAAGAACTTGAATGATAATTGAAAGAACTTGTCGATAAGAGTCCTAAGTAACTTATGAAGCCTCATTTTAGCATGTATAACTAGATAAACCAAGATTTTCAATGTGATGAGTGAGTTAATTGCAGGATTAACTTTGGTTTGTTGAGATTTAAGACGTTTTTGGCGTTAAGTTATGAAATAGTAGTTAATTTGTTGTGGATTCAGTTTGTTTAGTAGTTTATTGACTAGATATTAAATTGTACGGTGTTAATATGGCTGGTATAAAATTGTAGAACACCGATTTTCGTTTGGTAAATGAATCTGAATGCTTAATTTATTCTGGTTTTTGAATTTTGCGACAGGTTTTTCTCAAATTCTTTCGATACAAACGCAATAAGTTTGGATAGATTGTGTCGTCATTTTTCTGAAAATATTTTTTTCGCTTCTTGTGTCTGACTTTATAACTTATTTCGACCAATTTTTGCATGCATATCTTGAAGATGAACATTTTAAATTGGTAGTCGATTTGCCGAAATGACTGGGTTCTTTGATGTTTCGGTAAGCGGTGAATGTCGATTGTGAGAATATGTGGACTTCTGTGTGCTGTCAAGAAAGGAAGTCGAATTATCGCCGAGCGTCAATCGCTAATATCACGGTTGTAGTGGCATGCAATGGAAATCGATTCCTAAACAGCCGGGAACCGGTCGCTTCTCTCTCGGTTCGCTTTTAAATAGTTTTTGTGAAAGTGAGGTAATTGTGCTCGCAGACACAAACCAAGTCATCCTCGGCTCCCAGGCCAAACATATTTAACTCAACCTTGAAACGCTTGAAAGATAGAAACGCTTTCAAAGATATCGTTACCAACTAACACTTCGTTTCCTGATTTAATTTGATTTTCCTACATTGAGTTAAGGTTTCTAATGTAATAAATTTCAAAAGTGATCCGGTCGGGTCGAGTCGGGCCCAGAAAAAAAAACCGGATTCCATCCACGTGTAAGGGGACTGAAACATATTTATTTACTATTTAAGTTTGAGGTTATTTGGATTGCTTAAACTCAGTCCCCTAGTAAGGTCATAGAACAGACTGCGCGTGAATACTTCTTTTCTTCCGCCCGCAAACAGACTTAATGCGGTTTTGATTGCTTATTTTCCAAATCATGATCCACGAGTATAAGCTTAAAAAGTTTTTCTTCTAAGTCTATTATTTTTTTTTTGGGGGGGGGAGTTGTGAACTAAACAAAGTTGATGCCTTGAAAGATAATGTGACGTTGACGAATTTCTGAAATCCATCTCCGAAATGAGCGATCGTTTTTTCTGTAAAATTTAATTCTTTCAGATTGGTTTGTGAAGTTATTTTCTCCGAAAATGTTTACATTCGAAGACTACATGCACCCGACATTCAGTCACAGCCAATCAACTGGGTATGCACAGGATCCCAAAACACAGACTCTGAACCCAGCTGTGACTGGTGCCTCTGTCATCGGCATCAAGTATGACTCAGGGGTCCTGATTGCGGCGGACACTTTGGGATCCTATGGTTCTATGGCCAAAATCAGACATGTATCTAGGCTGCATACCATCAATGAACAGGTTTGAAAACCACCTCGTTGCAAATTTTTTCAGCTTTTTCTAAGTTTTTGGACAAATTATTTGTGGTTAAGAACTATCTTACAATTACCTTAGAAGCTGACTAGCTTACTAATCGAAAATTCTGTCAATTTCTATTTGTTACTAAATCGCCAGGATATCAAATGAAGCAGTGTGTATCAGTAAATATTCACTCAACTGTTCATCGTTTTGGCTGAGCCACCATCAAATTGTTCCAAAGCCAACTCGATTGGTTTTTGTCATAACGGATTTCTTAATTTCGACACGTTTTTATTTTTTTGCAATATAGGGTGGTAGTTTAACTGCAGATTGGACTAATTAACTTCCCATGAATCTTAAATCAACGCCTGGCTTCGAATAAATGTTTGCACGCTTGTTGTTTGATCACGCAACTTATGGTTCTTCGCACTAGCGAGCTTGCGAGCGTTGTGTGTATTGATACGAACCTTTCGAGTTTCTGACCGTTTTTTGAAACTTTTTGACTTCACTCAAAAATTACCCACCCAAATCTAATGAGCAACGTTTCAAGCTTATTTCAATCCAACAAGCTATTGTAATCACTTTAAATTTTAAGAAAACTGAAGTAATTGATGCAATTAACAGTTTTTGAAGCCATTAAATTGGGATTTATATCTCTTTCCTATAGGTATGTTTTTGAAATGACCCTTGTCCTTCCGTATCAATACAAAAATATGAAAAATTGTCAAACAGTTATTAATTTCCAGCTCAAGCTGACCTCCAGTGAAACTGTTCATTGAAACTGTTCACTCATATGGAAATTTCACTGTAATTGCATAATATCTGTTCTCTCTGCTTTATTTGTAGCTAGTGTTTGTCATTAATTGAGCGTCCGTGGCTGAGTGGGTACTCAAAATAGGTGCATGGGACTCATAATCTCTGTGTCACAGAAGGGAGTAGGTTCAAATCCGAGACGTGACTGAATTTTTACTAATTCAAGGCTTATTTCTACTTTTTCCTTTTTTACTTAATAAAACTGCTTTTTGTCGTGTTCTCGCTGGTATTTGCGAAGCGCAGCTTCGACTCTGTGTTCAATTAAATTAGGAGCAAAATTTGTAAGACTGGAGCAAAACAGAGTTGGAAGACTTTACGTTATTTGCAGAGGCACCGGGTATATATTGTAGATTTCAGTATTTTTCATTATCATCATCACCGAAAATTTTGGATCTTTTCAACTATTCCCTCATCTTTTGCAAAAGTGTGGAGAACCGTTTCTAGGTACAAATTATACATATACTTAACTGTTGATTTGTTCATTATGGGGGTGGTGGCGAATCGTTACTAAGTAGCAAAGCGAAGATATTATTAAAGAAATCCCAAATTTATTGTAACACCAATTTTTCCATTTCAAAGGTGTTTTAGGGCTCGAAAAATTTTATAGATGCAGGTCGTTTCATTAGAATCGTTTCGTAATTTTTAAACTTATTTCCAAAGCCAATTCGATTGGTTTTTGTCGTAATGGATTCTTTAATTTCGACGCGTTTTTAATTTGTTTTCCAATATATTTTAATTTTTAGGTTGCAATTGGTTTTGCGGGCGACTTGGCCGACGCGCAGTTTATCACTAAAATAATCAACAGCATGGTGTTGGACGACCAGGTAGCCGCAGACGGTACCCATATGAGCCCCAAGGCCATGTTGAACTGGCTGACAAGAGTGTACTACAACAGACGATCCAAAATAGACCCTCTGTGGAACCAAGTGGTGGTGGCTGGATTCGACAGACAAACCAGCCAGCCTATGCTAGGCTGCGTGAACCTTTTGGGCTATTCATGGCAGGACTCAGTTGTAGCTACAGGCAAGTTAACATCCCTTCAAGCTTCAACTTCAATCAAAGCAATCTGCAAAGATCTTTTTATTGGGTCAAACATTTCAAAGCGCTAATTTGGTTGAACTATATGTCAATATCTGAAAAATAAATTCTTGACTCTTGGCAAAAAATTCTAACTGAATTAATAGAGACAATTAGTTTTAATAACATTTACTGTAAATCAGGTAAGGCAATGTTCAATAAGCTTTCGATTTTTGCAGCCGCTATGCAAAAATTTCCAAAACGTTTTCCTACAAGAAGCTAGAATTAAAAGGCTTGTTTCAAAACGCTTCTATTTCTTGCCTAAAATGCGATCAAAAAGTGTTTTTATCAATTCTGAATTTTTCTCAATTATCATTTTTCTGCAAACATGACGGTGGTGGGAGTTTTCTGTGCGGCACATCATTAGGTTATTTTTTTCAAACAAGTCGTAATTAATTATTGAAAATTATGCACACTAATATCATGGTCCTATCTGCTCAGGTATGGGTGCTCACTTTGCAATGCCGTTCATTCGGTCGAAGGTCGATGAGAAGAAAGCGCCGTTGACATTAGACGAAGCAAATGAGGTGATTAAGAAATGTATGGGCACTTTGTATGCGCGTGATGCTAGATCGTGGCCCGAGTATGAAGTAGTTAAAGTGGATGCTTCTGGTGTTGTGAAGTCGGAGATTCAAACTGTGCAAATTGTATGGAAGCCTTATGCTGATTACCAAGAAGGACGAAAACATTGAAGAAGATAGAAAGTAGAAGCAACGATGATGCCGTGAAAAAGATGACTGAGAAATTGGATGTAGAGAATATACTTATTTGTTTTGATGCTGATCTAAGTTTAATTAATTTTTAGTCAAATCAAGTGTTTTCTTGATATTTCGATTTCAAAAAATCATTGAAAGCCACCTAAAAGTTTTTATTAATTGTTGTCTATGAACGTAGTGAAGACACGTACATTGGTCTTGATGATTTTTTTTTCATGGATAAGTCTTAAACTTTGTTCAGGCATAGTTAGATTTTTTTGCGGTTCGACTTCGGATATTTTTCCAAGTTCAATTCATTTTCTTTTGCTGAAGGGAAGACAAATTTCGCATTCTAATTAGGAAAGCGGCGTGGTGCAACAAATTAATGTTCTTTAGGTTCAAAAATGGATTGTAATTTTAAAAATTAAAAGAACCAAATGATTTTCATTTATAAAGGGTTTGATAATTTTTTTTCAGAAAAGTCTTAAAATGCTCAATAACTCCAGAAGTGCATTCATACATATTATTGCATTAATGAATGCATTTAGGTATAGGTATTTTTTTCTGTACATTTGTGCTAAAAGTTTGCTAAATTGCGCTCTACAATTAATCAAGCTACTATGGCGCAAAAATGTGAAACACTTCTAGTTTTGAAATCATTTTTTAATTTTCAGATTTCCCAGCGGAATAAAAAATTTGTCTATTGATACAGTTTTGTCAAATTGGGTTAATTGTATCTTAAAATTGTCAATCATAAATTGTTCTTGAAGTTCGAAGAGCTTTAACTCCTTGCGTACATTAATCATTTCCAACTGTCTGCTGGCTATGTTTTTTTCCTCGCGTAATCAGTTGCCACAAGTTATTATTAGAATGGGTCGAGTTATATATCATTTTAAAGCCCTTTCAGTCGTGATTCGAACGCCATAATTTTTCCAAAAGTTTTCTCTGTGTCGAGAAGACCATATTTGAAGTTTTTTTGGTGTCATTTTGTGCGAATAAAGTGAGTGATTAGTCTTATTTTAATTTTCACCTAAATCGATCCCCTGCTAATCATTGGAATGGTTCCATCATTTTTTTCTGTTTTACTTGATTTCATCTTCTAATTGGATGCGCCTTTTTATGGAAAGGGGATTAAACTTTACAAACGCTCTGTTTTTTTTTACAATAGATCAGGTGAATAAAATCCAGTATGAATATACCCTTCTAACGACATTGAGTTTGATATTAGATTAACTTCTAGATTTTTTGCCTAAAAGTAATGGTTTTGCTATTTACACTTATTTAAACAGAAGGCTAATTAGAGAAGTGTGTGAATGTCCGAGTTCACTTATATTTCATTTTTTTTTTCAATGAATATCAATTGTTTTGCAACCTATTAAAAATGGACCGAAGTTTTTACTTACAACTTTTTGAAGAATTAATGACGTGTTTTTTTTTGCGTGAGGCGACATTTTGTAACAGGCGACAGTTTTTAACAGGCGACAATTCGTAACAGGCGACAATTCGTAACAAGGGATAATTCGTAATAATAGATTAAGCGGGAAACACTGATTCACGCGCAGTTTTTCTCTCGTGCCTGATACTGGACATTTTCAGGCAGTTTGAAGGGTTTCAATATGATATAGAATACTGTAGCGTAAAACGTTTCAATGCTTAGTTATACGCGAAAAGTTATATTTGAATTCATTCTTTATTCACGATTTTATAGGAGCTTCTATAATTGGGAACTAGCCTATTTTCTTGATTACAACTTTCTTAATTATTTACCGTTTAAACTCTTAACTTTTCAATTCCTATTTTTATTCGCCAACTATTGTCAATATCATCGCTCCGACGCTTCCTTTTAATTGTTCTTAAATTTTTTTTAGCTTTTTTCCTAAGTGTATAAGACTTGGTCGGCTTAATTGCCAGATTTTTTTCGAACTGGTACAAAATCTGACAAAAGCTCTTGATTTGGGGCATTTTCTTTTTGAGAAATTTAGACTAATTCGATTTACGAATAGGGCCAAAAAATAAAACATGCATTTTTTTTATCTACAAAAAGTTTTTTAAAAACCAATCAGTTTTTTATACCTTTCTTTCAACCCAAGGATTCTACAATCCAGAAATACAAACCCACTGCTTTTATTATTCCGACCATTGGCATTGCGGAGGAACTTTGTATTCGGTTGTGTTTTAGTTTTCTATCGCAAAATCAGGTACAACAAACAATCATTCGAATGAGTCGAGTGATATATCATATTAACCCCTTTCAGTCGTAATTCGAACGACATTAAAACTAAGAAATTTCAAACTGATTTTTCTCGATTTGTGACAGTTATTTTTGTAATTTCGAGTGAGTAAAGCAATCGAGCAGGCTTATTGAAAACGGACGAGTCAAAAAATTATAGTTTTTATATTCAGTTAAATTGTATTATGAAGTTTTTTCGACAAAAATTGTTACCCGATTTGTCTATTTTACTGTGATTGTCGAATTTGCCTAAATTTTAGGTTTTTGTGATATCTTTTCATCTCACCAAGCACTAAAAACAACAATAATTTGATTAGATAGTATGAACAAAAAACATTGTATTTTTTAAAGCAACCGTTTATCCTTGTTTCCGTAGGTTTTTGGCAGTTGTAACCTCACTCAACAAGTATTGTTGATTTCTCTTTTTTCAGCAATAATTAAACGATTTTTTTTGGTTGTATGTCCAGTTGAAGCTACCGCTCTAAAAGTTTCGTCTCGTATTAATACTATGCCGCTGTATAATTCCATGCAGCATATTCATTTTAATCTTGCTCGTAAAGTTGGGGTATCGGCATTTGTTTTCTTCTACATCACGAAATTATTTCTTTTTTTAACGAAATTTTTGCACTTTCACGAGTTCAAAGTTTTTAAAATATGTTTGTACGATAGCGTAGCATTTTACTACACATGAGCCTATTGTTCCTGTCATAATCTAAAGGGGTGGTCCAAAGTGCTCCTTATGTCATGGTTCGTAGATGATTTCAAGATTGCACGCATAATACTGAATTATAGCGAGAGAATAAGAAGGCTCCTCTCAACATTAGTTTTATTTCAAAGAGTGAATGAGCTTCTCGGAAATTGATATTTCTGGTCCCAGCAAACCCGAGAAAGAGAATCTTTGTTTCGGGCATGACTCTCTCGATGCGATATTTGGAGAGGAAAAAGGAATACCCGCACAAGTAAGCTCCATGAGTGATGTCCATTTTGAGCCTTTCAGAGAAACTATATCCCTGATGATTCACATCCTTAATTGAATCTGATTAGCTGTCGATCAAATTGTTGTGAACATGCTTGTTATTTTTGGTTTAAAATGTTTCAAGCCTTCATAGATGATGTCATAATTGAACGCTAAAATTAATTGCTGTTATCTTGAACTTTTGTATTCGAAATTTCACAGTGCAAGTTGTTCAACCAATCTGATGATAATCGAATAGGGTTTTTTCCGGTGATAAATGACGTCTCCCAACCTTGAATCGCTTTGTAAATATTTTGTTCAGATCTACGAAGCTATGAAATATTTTGTATGCGCATGTGTGTTTTTATTTCAAGATTTTTCAGCTGATGAATAAAAAAATGAGTAGAACATCAAAAAAGATCGCTGAAGTTCTAAGAGCTCAAAAGCTGAAAATGTTTTCAATTCTCTGGCAACTATGTTTTTAAACTCGGTTTTAAAATCCAGGGAAGGAGCTTCTTTGTTCGATAGTCTGGCTGATTATGAATTTAAAGGTTTTTCACTCTCACCTATTGATCTTAGTTTGACTTTTTTGAAAATTTGTTTTTTCATCCCAATTTTGTTTTACTCAGTTTTCTATTTTTAACACAAGAGATTTTTCGAGCGTAATGTTATACGGCACATCGCTTATTTTTGGGCAAAATTTATGCGCAAATTTTTCGAATTCGTGTTTTGGTGAAGACATCGAAGCCATGAGCCTTACAATCAGGGGCGGATCCAGGTTTTTCTCGAGGAGGGGGGGGGGGGGCGGATTTTCAAAAAAGTTTCGAACATTTTGTCGACCTTTTTTTTTAGGTCGACCAAATTGATTTTCCGAGCTCTCCCGAAGCACTACAAAGGCTCTGTTTTGGCCAAAATTTCTGCGCCGCATTGTCTAAATTCGAGCGAATAATGCAAGAAAGCAGGGTTACAACAGCTTATTTTTGCTCAATTTATGTCGTGAGAACTTTCTTCTACTCAAATAAATTTTTTTTTTGCAGTTTTTTAGCGCCATTTAGGAATTAAAATCTTCACAAATTCAGAAAATTTCTGCAAACATTTTGAACTAAATTTTTTAAAGTCTTGTCCAATTTGCTTCTTTTCTTTGACCATCGACTATTTCTAGGTTCCAGATTTTCATTGAGATCCTTTTATCGCACCAAGAAAAAAAATGACACTTAAGTGAAAAAAAAACTTTTTTTTTTCAGACTATGGTCGGAACATTCTGTGCTACTTGCACAGTATCCGGCTATCCTGGTTAGTTTTTGTGCCTACCCATTTTTCAAATGGTCGGAACAAAATGCAAGAAACATGTTGCGACCATTTGAAAAAGTGGAAAGGAACTTTGTATTCGGTTTTTATCCATTCAAATTTAGTTACTACAAATAATTAGAGAGAGAGAAAAAAAGAGAGAAGGAGAAAGAGAGCGCGCGAGAGAGAGAGAGACAGAGAGAGCGAGCGAGCGAGCGAGCTATGAGTCATATATCATATCAAAGCTCTTTCATTCGTGGCTCGAACGACATTTTAAATTTCAAAAAAAAAATTCCCAATGTTGAGAAAAACCGGTTTGAAATTTTTCGTCTAAATTCGAGCGAGTAAAGCGAGAGAGAGAGAGAGCACGCTTGTTTATTCTTAATTCGGTCTGTTTACAATAGCTTAATTATGCTTAATTTTAATCGAGGTAAATTAGTTTTTGGAGATTTTTTAATACCATTTTGGTAATGAAACACTAAAGAAAATTGGTAAAGAAAATTTGAAAAAAAATTAGATTTTTTTTTTCAAATGTTTGATTTTTTTTTCAGATTTTTTTTGTTATTCATTATTTTTCATCGAATACTTTTGTCCTGTTTGCTGATGTTGTTACTATGGTTGTTGAATATGCCCTAGCTATAGTTTTACGTCAGATCCTTTTATCAAACCACGCAGAAAAATACTAGTATAATTTGAAAAAAACTCTTTTAATCGTGTTTTTCAAAACTATGGTCGGAAAGTTCTGTGCTACTTGCACAGTAACCGGCTGCCTTTGTTTATGCTTGCGATTAGCATGCGATATCAAGTGATTCTGTTAAAAGTTTGTTAGACCAAAAAAAAAGTCATACTCCGATTTGATATCGCTTGCTAATCACTTTTAACAGAATCACTTGGTATCTTGTTTCATAATGAATTCAAAGTTCTAAGCGTCTCTTCTACGCTTAGTCTGGAGGAAACGAATACGTCTGGGAAGGCAAAGATACTGGGTTTGAATCTGACCAGGACTTGTTTTTTGTTTTCAAAGGAAAATTTTGTTTCAAATAAAATTGCTTATTGGCCAATGGTTTGTCTGCTAATGTTTTGTTGGCTTAGTTGCCACATCTTAGAATTGTTTTGCTCTATGCAGGTTTTTAATTGTAGTTGTTGTTTTTTCATTTACTCCTGCAGTTTGTAATTCTACTAGCCTTGACTTCGTATAATTTTTACCCTTGCGATTACCCAATATTGATTTTTCGGGATTCGTGGGTTTTGGCCTAGTTTCCGTCGGTTCGTTTTCCGTTTTTTTTTTCAAATATCCTTTATATTATCTGGTTCTAGTTTTTTCGGACAACTTGTTGAAGCGTGGATTTTTTTTATTCTTAATTTTTTGTAGAATAATTTAAATTTCTGTTTTTTCTCATTTTACCAAGTCCTATTTTGAATAAAATTGTTCTTTTTTTAAATGTTTTTCAACTAATTTCAAAAAAGAATGTTTCGTAGATTTTTAAAAACTATGGTCGGAACATTATGTTTTACTTGCACAGTAACCGGCTAACCTTGTTTGCCTGATAGAATTCGCCTCTTTGCCGTTTTGCTGCTAGTGTTTACGAGGTACAGCTTCTGTGTTAAAAGTTAAAGAATTTTGCTTTTTGTTAGAGATTTTTGATGACATTTTTGTTCAACTCAGCTTGTCTGCAATGAGCTTGTTGCTTTCGGAAGTGCTATGTGGCCCTGTCTGTTCTATTTGGTTGTTATTTTTCTAACTAAAACCTATTTTTGCGTGCCAGGCCGTTACAGGGCAACAATGCCGCAAAAAAAAAAACGGCGAAGAGAATGATCAGCACCAATTACGTCAGAAAAGAGAGTTAAAATTTGTTTTGCGCATTGATTTTGAACTGCTCAAAATTACAGTGTTTGGAAATTAGTGGGCTAGTTGCACAGCAGCAGGTTATTCTTTATTTATGGCGTTATAATGGACACCACTGGAGAAATGGCCTCTCTTAGGGCATAACTGAGTTCTATGGAGCCAGTGGATCAGGAAAGACCCAGATAGCTCTCCATCTCACTCTCACTTGTCTGGCTCAACAACACAACAACAAAGGAAGCCCAACCATATTTAACTTCATACTCCACCCAGGGGCGGATTGAGGGGGGGGGGGGATTTGTTAAATTGTAAGGGAATTACACTTGGTTCAAAATAATATAAATGTTTGATTTGACTCCCGTTTGAACGCTAAAGCAGCACCAAAATTTGCAAGTACACCAATTTTGCGAGAACAAAACAATGTCAACTTTGGAACTTTTACTATTTTTTTATCATCGCAAACAAAATTACTGACAATTTAAGCTACAAACATATTGTCGCAATTTTTTTTATTCGAGGTAGGTGACAATTTATAAATTGCTGAGAAGTGCATATTCTTTTTTTGAACGACAAATATGAATGTGCGGTAGCAAATTGCCGCAAATTTTGGAGTAAAGAGTTAAATTGGTACGGCATCACAGTGGTATACATTTGCACCGAAGGAGTTTTTCCTTCCAAGCGTTTCTCCCAGCTGGTCGAAAGTCGGACTGAGGAAAATAGAAGTAGTGATTTGGGAGATTTCGGAGAACGACTTCTGTTACGCCACGAGGCTTCAATAGACAGTTTGGTCCAATGCATCTCAAACAGGTTTGTAAAGTGCCTGTCTCAAAATGCGGAAAAGTTTTCTAATTGGACGATAAGAAAACAACACTTTCTAAACGATAAATGTAAATCTATTGTTCAGAAATGAATCCATTGTCGTTGTGTGTTGTTTCGGCAGAGAGTTCCGCTGTTTCGAGCAAAATTGTTATACGGCTCATCGCTTATTTTTGGGCAAAATTTATGCGCAAATTTTTCGAATTCGTGTTTTGGTGGAACATTTGAAGACATCGAAGCCATGAGCCTTACAATCAGGGGTGGATCAAGGTTTTTCTCGAGGAGGGGGGGCGGATTTTCAAAAAAGTTTCGAAAATTGATTTTCCGAGCTCTCCCGAAGCACTACAAAGGCTCTGTTTTGGCCAAAATTTCTGCGCCGCACTGTCTAAATTGGAGCGAATAATGCAAGAAAGCAGGGTTACAATAGCTTATTTTTGCTCAATTTATGTCGTGAGAACTTTCTTCTACTCAAATAAATTTTTTTTTTGCAGTTTTTTAGCGCCATTTGGGAATTAAAATCTTCACAAATTCAGAAAATTTCTGCAAACATTTTGAACTAAATTCTTTAAAGTCTTGTCCAATTTGCTTCTTTTCTTTGACCATCGACTATTTCTAGGTTCCAGGTTTTCATTGAGATCCTTTTATCGCACCAAGAAAAAAAATGACACTAATGTGAAAAAAAAACTTTTTTTTTTCAGACTATGGTCGGAACATTCTGTGCTACTTGCACAGTATCCGGCTATCCTGGTTAGTTTTTGTGCCTACCCATTTTTCAAATGGTCGGAACAAAATGCAAGAAACATGTTGCGACCATTTGAAAAAGTGGAAAGGAACTTTGTATTCGGTTTTTTTCCATTCAAATTTAGTTACTACAAATAATTAGAGAGAGAGAGAAAAAAAAGAGAGGAGAAAGAGAGCGCGCGAGAGAGAGAGAGAGAGAGAGCGAGCGAGCGAGCGAGCGAGCGAGCGAGCGAGCGAGCTATTAGTCATATATAACTTCAAAGCTCTTTCATTCGTGGCTCGAACGACATTTTAAATTTCAAAAAAAAAATCCCAATGTTGAGAAAAACCGGTTTGAAATTTTTCGTCTAAATTCGAGCGAGTAAAGCGAGAGAGAGAGAGCACGCTTGTTTATTCTTAATTCGATCTGTTTACAATAGCTTAATTATGCTTAATTTTAATGAGTTAAATTAGTTTTTGGAGATTTTTTAATACCATTTTGGTAATGAAACACTAAAGAAAATTGGTAAAGAAAATTTGAAAAAAAAATTAGATTTTTTTTTTCAAATGTTTGATTTTTTTTCAGATTTTTTTTTGTTATTCATTATTTTTCATCGAATACTTTTGTCCTGTTTGCTGATGTTGTTACTATGGTTGTTGAATATGCCCTAGCTATAGTTTTACGTCAGATTCTTTTATCAAACCACGCAGAAAAATACTAGTATAATTTGAAAAAAACTCTTTTAATCGTGTTTTTCAAAACTATGGTCGGAAAGTTCTGTGCTACTTGCACAGTAACCGGCTGCCTTTGTTTATGCTTGCGATTAGCATGCGATATCAAGTGATTCTGTTAAAAGTTTGTTAGACCAAAAAAAAGTCATACTCCGATTTGATATCGCTTGCTAATCACTTTTAACAGAATCACTTGGTATCTTGTTTCATAATGAATTCAAAGTTCTAAGCGTCTCTTCTACGCTTAGTCTGGAGGAAACGAATACGTCTGGGAAGGCAAAGATACTGGGTTTGAATCTGACCAGGACTTGTTTTTTTTTCAAAGGAAAATTTTGTTTCAAATAAAATTGTTTATTGGCCAATGGTTTGTCTGCTAATGTTTTGTTGGCTTAGTTGCCACATCTTAGAATTGTTTTGCTCTATGCAGGTTTTTAATTGTAGTTGTTGTTTTTTCATTTACTCCTGCAGTTTGTAATTCTACTAGCCTTGACTTCGTATAATTTTTACCCTTGCGATTACCCAATATTGATTTTTCGGGATTCGTGGGTTTTGGCCTAGTTTCCGTCGGTTCGTTTTCCGTTTTTTTTCAAATATCCTTTATATTATCTGGTTCTAGTTTTTTCGGACAACTTGTTGAAGCGTGGATTTTTTTTATTCTTAATTTTTTGTAGAATAATTTAAATTTCTGTTTTTTCTCATTTTACCAAGTCCTATTTTGAATAAAATTGTTTTTTTTTAAAATGTTTTTCAACTAATTTCAAAAAAGAATGTTTCGTAGATTTTTAAAAACTATGGTCGGAACATTATGTTTTACTTGCACAGTAACCGGCTAACCTTGTTTGCCTGATAGAGTTTGCCTCTTTGCCGTTTTGCTGCTAGTGTGTACGAGGTACAGCTTGGCTTCTGTGTTAAAAGTTAAAGAATTTTGCTTTTTGTTAGAGATTTTTGATGACATTTTTGTTCAACTCAGCTTGTCTGCAATGAGCTTGTTGCTTTGGGAAGTGCTATGTGGCCCTGTCTGTTCTATTTGGTTGTTATTTTTCTAACTAAAACCTATTTTTGCGTGCCAGGCCGTTACCGGGCAACAATGCCGCAAAAAAAAACGGCGAAGAGAATGATCAGCACCAATTACGTCAGAAAAGAGAGTTAAAATTTGTTTTGCGCATTGATTTTGAACTGCTCAAAAATACAGTGTTTGGAAATTAGTGGGCTAGTTGCACAGCAGCAGGTTATTCTTTATTTATGGCGTTATAATGGACACCACTGGAGAAATGGCCTCTCTTAGGGCATAACTGAGTTCTATGGAGCCAGTGGATCAGGAAAGACCCAGATAGCTCTCCATCTCACTCTCACTTGTCTGGCTCAACAACACAACAACAAAGGAAGCCCAACCATATTTAACTTCATACTCCACCCAGGGGCGGATTGAGGGGGGGGGGGATTTGTTAAATTGTAAGGGAATTACACTTGGTTCAAAATAATATAAATGTTTGATTTGACTCCCGTTTGAACGGTAAAGCAGCACCAAAATTTGCAAGTACACCAATTTTGCGAGAACAAAACAATGTCAACTTTGGAACTTTTACTATTTTTTTATCATCGCAAACAAAATTACTGACAATTTAAGCTACAAACATATTGTCGCAATTTTTTTTATTCGAGGTAGGTGACAATTTATAAATTGCTGAGAAGTGCATATTCTTTTTTTGAACGACAAATATGAATGTGCGGTAGCAAATTGCCGCAAATTTTGGAGTAAAGAGTTAAATTGGTACGGCATCACAGTGGTATACATTTGCACCGAAGGAGTTTTTCCTTCCAAGCGTTTCTCCCAGCTGGTCGAAAGTCGGACTGAGGAAAATAGAAGTAGTGATTTGGGAGATTTCGGAGAACGACTTCTGTTACGCCACGAGGCTTCAATAGACAGTTTGGTCCAATGCATCTCAAACAGGTTTGTAAAGTGCCTGTCTCAAAATGCGGAAAAGTTTTCTAATTGGACGATAAGAAAACAACACTTTCTAAACGATAAATGTAATTGTAAATCTATTGTTCAGAAATGAATCCATTGTCGTTGTGTGTTGTTTCGGCAGAGAGTTCCGCTGTTTCGAGCAAAATTGTTCAGATTTTTCTTCCTTTTTGTTAGTTTCGGAAATTTGACGAAAAATGGGAACATTTTGATGGTTATTCGATAAAGACTTAGGTTTTCGGACGAGTCTTTCTTTGTCGCATTTATTTGGGATACGAATGTCTATGAACCGAAATTTAGCTTCCTTCTGTAATTAAAACTCGTAAATGAAAACTAAAGTTTATTTGAGCCACCCCTCTGACTGAAATTAATTTTTCCGCTGCTTTGATATTATGACCTTGAAACAACGGGGTTTCTTTTTTTTCGGTTAGTCAAAAACTTTTCGTTTTTTTTTTATTGCAGCTCGAAATCACTAATACACGCTCGAATTACTCTTTAAGGTGATATATCAATCGAACCCGTCTTATATTTATTTGTGGTACCTGGAATTGGCGGGAAATAAACCTTCTCGACATTGGTCGTTATCAGAACAATAAGATAACAACAGTATCAATTTTATGCTGACATTGTAAAGGGAAGGGGTCTTCTGTGAATAGTTAACGAATATTTTTGGGAGTATGCAGATGTTTATTAAATTAAAGAAATTTAGAAAAGAAATAAATTGAAGTAGATTTGAAGAAACAAAGAAATATATTGATCAATATTCAATATGAATAAAAAGGATCTCTTTTCTTTATTTTCTCCCTGACGTTATTTAGTAACGAATTGTCACTCCTATTATGAAATAAATCAAAACTTAAGAACCTGTGAATTTTGTACCTAGAAACGACTCTCCCCCTTTTGCACATGGGGGGGGGGGGGCTAGTAAGAGAGAGCCAATAAGTGAGTGTGATTTAAATCTCAATGTGTTTCAGACTTCCCAAACTGGTTTGCTCGACTGAAGGTGTTAAATGTGTTATTGTGGACTCAATAGCGGCAGTGTTTAGATGTGAAACTAGAAGTGACATTTCACACGTAGAGAGGAGTGAAATATTCTTCCAGCTCGCTTCTAGGCAGCCCCATTCTCTTTTTCCTTCTATTCTTCCACGTCTAGGAAGTCAATTAAGATTGAAAATCAAATCAGTTGAATCGTATATTATATAAATTCTTTTTCAAGAAGGGTGTTATACCCTCGACCGGTAGGTGAGGTATAATCTATGTTGATTCTGTGTTAGTGAGAAACTACGCAGAGAGAGAGAGAGAGAGAGAGAGAGAGAGAGAGAGAGAGAGAGGACTTAATTTACCCCTTGGGGAATTTACAAAACAATCTTACAATTTACAAAACTTAACAGCAATAATAGAAATAGTTTATAATTTTTAAAATAGATATTAAGAACGACAATACAGGCAAATACATTTTGCCGACCACGTACAGCTCACTTTTTCATTGTAAGTTTGAAGCTTGCTCTTGTAGAAAAGATGAATTTTCCTCTTCCATTCACAAAATGAGTCACGAGCATCAATTTTCAGGTGATTTACCAGCCTTACAACTCGATCAAAATAAAAATTTCTCGTCTTCAAATATCTTCGATTTTTCAAAACAAAATGCAGTAATTTGAGCTCCGCAACGACGAACAAGATTCTGATAGGGTAACGTAATCGAAAATATTCAGGTCATATTTCCCGTTGAAAAGTCGATGGAAAAGGAGTAAATCACTTATCTCTAACTTATAGGAGATAGGGTAAATATTCAAGTTCAAGAGTGTAGAATTATAATCACCAGTCATGCCAATCCACTTTATGCAACGCTTATTTAAAGACTACAACTTCTGAAGATCTGTTTTGCTTGGGGACCAAATTGGAGATGCATAAGATAAAATGGAGAGAATACAAGTTTTGTATAAATTAATTTTGAGTGATCTAGATGCACTCATCGGAACATTTCTTTTCAGCATAAAGAAGACCTTATAACACTTCGAAATTTTGTCAGCAACGTGGAGGGACCAACTAAAATTCGAAGTAAAAATAACACCAAGGTCTTTAAAACTTTGAATTCTATCAAGCAAAGTATTACCGATATAGAGAGTCGTTGTGGAACAGTGAAAAAATGAGAGTTTTTTGCACTTCTCTGGATGTAAATCAAGAAAATTTTCAGTGCACCACCGCTGTAGAGCGGACAAGTCAGTCTGTAAGGAAGTAGAATTTACGCTGCAGCATTTGAGATCATCAGCAAAGAGAAAAGAAGAGGTGCTAAGGGTTGAGGGAAGATCGTTTACAAACAGTAAGAATAACAAAGGCCCTAAAATGCTACCTTGGGGCACCCCACTTGTCACTGAGGCTATTTCAGATAGCATGCCATCTATGCGCACACGCTGGTAGCGATTGGATAAATAACTAAGTAGAAGTTCTAGGAAATCATGATCAAGGCCATATGACGCAAGTTTATAAAGCAGCCTGTCATGTCGCACTGAATCGAAAGCTTTCCTAATGTCAGCATAAAACACGGTAGTAAAAAGACCCTGCTCATAGCCTTCAAAAATTTTATCACAAAAACTCAAAAGTTGAGTTACAGTTGAACGCCGAGACATGAACCCATATTGCGATGACGAAACTTTGTACCGGATTTTCAAATAAACATGATCGAATAAAACTCGTTCCAGACCTAGTGATAATTTCGGTAATAGGCTGATTGGCCGATAATTGGTAACATCACTGTAACTTTCTTTCTTATGAAGAGGCGAAACATACGCAGTTTTCCAAGCATCAGGCCAGACTTTGTGCTTCAAAATATTCTCGTAAAGCGCAATAACCAGGGGACACAGTTGATTAGAGCAGTACCTTAGAAATGCAGGAGGTACATTATCACAGCAAACTGAGGCTGAATCATCAGCAGAGCTTAAGAAGTTGAGAATTTTATCGAAAGAGATATCAATGGAATTTAACGAAATTGACGAACAAGTATAGAGCTGTAACAAATCGACCGAACAGAAGGGTTTGAAGACTGAAGCGAAAAAGCGATTAAATAAATTGGATTTTTCTAAAATGGAGCGAGCTTTAAATGACCCCCAATGTAAGGTGCCAGGAAATGTACACTTGTTGGAAATGCTTTTGAGAATTTTGAAACAGTTGTTAACATTCAAATTTGCAAATGAGTTGAGATAACATAATTTATCTAGTTCTAAGTTTCGGTCAAGCTCAAGTGTCAGAGAACTATGATCGCAGGCCGGGAATTGTCGTCTCTTTGAAGTTAGTTTATTAATAAGGTGAACGGTAGATGAACTGTAGTAAAAAGGTAGTTGTTGTCGTTTTTTCCGTTTCAGCTGTGCAGATGCTGACACTGCACCTGATATTGTAGGTATAAACAGAGTTGAAAAATTTTCAAGTAAATGGGGATAACTTAATGCATCGTAGCATGCATCTAGGAAACTATTAAAAGTAACGAAATCAAAAGAACTTCTGGAATAAGATGGTGGAAATATCTCAGCGTTTGTATGCATTGAAAATGTAACCCCAACGGCACGGTGATCAGAAAGTGCACAATCAAAGACAACAGGTTCATTTTCTAGAAAACGGTCAGTTAGAAGAATGTCAAGTATATTCCCACTATTATGAGTTGGTTCATGAATCAATTGCTGCAGATTGTAATCCTGGAAGATTGAAATCAAACTCATGTCATAGCTGGAAGAACTAAAGCTAGTATGCCAATCAATATCCGGTAGGTTAAAATCACCGCCAAGTAAGAAATAATTATTTAAACAACCAATTTTTGAACATTCTGTCCGGTAAGCAGAATATACTAAGGATAGGAAATATTGAACTTCTGAACAGCGTTGCCTGAACCTAGAAGATGCAGGAGGGTTATACACTGTAGCAATGCATAAAACATATGAAGAACTCGAAAGTATAGCAGCGCATCCAACATTAGAATTGCAATGAACCGGTATGATATCAAAATGTGAATTTAAGGTAGATTTCATGGCTATAAGAGCACCCCCGTGTTCGCCATTTGATCTATCAGATCGAGCAATAACGAAATAATCAGAGAAAGGAAAAACGTGGTTAGATTCGGTAGAGTCATTCAGCCACGTTTCGGAGGCACAGAAGATACCACAGTTCCACGAATTTAACAAGTTAACAACTTGTATTCGTCTATTTAATGAAACCAAACTTTGGCAATTTAAGAACACTTTAAATAATTCAGAATATAGTCAGTCTTCATTGGAATTTATTGGAACCTCTTGGCCATCCAAATAAAGTTTTAAATCTCTAATTTTAATGAGACTTTTGTCATGCCCAGATTCGCTAAGTTCAAATCGCTTTTTCAGAAGGGTTCTTTCAAGTTCTTGGCCAGTTTTTGTGAGGGACTTACTAAGGAATACGGCAGATGAATAGTCTTTCAGCTTGTAGGCTTTGCTCAATAACTTGCGAGCAGACCACGCTGAATTCAATTTTACAATGATACTTCGGGACTTTCCTGAATTGGGTTTCACTCTGCCCGCCCTATAAACGTCTTGAATACAACCTGAAGCATCCTTTTCAATAAATTCCAGCACATCGGTGACTAGTTTCGAATCATCTTCGAATCGTTTTGCTGTGATTTGAGATGAGCTCTCAGGTATGCCTTGAATTCTGATTTCATCTACTTTATGGAGGGTTTCAGACTGTGAAGAGGTTGAGGGGTTGGAGATGACGGTTTGGACAGCAGGGGTGACAGGCACAGACTTGATAGATTTTTCTACCGCAGATATCGAATCGACAATTAAGGCAGTGGACTTCACCCTGGACAAGGCTTCGCGTAATAAACAAGTGAGATTGCTTTTATTGACAGTGGCGAGAAACTTATTCAATTCTTCAGGATTACAATCAAGCAGCTCGTCAATCGCAGAATAATAGTCCTTGGTAGACGGTAACTGCCCACGTCCACTATCGCCGTCCACCATAACAATCAAATCAGTTGTCTCTTTTTTAGCTCTTTAAATAAATCAAGAAGAAGTATCGGCAATAAAGCAGAGAAAGATAGAGTTAATAACCAACAACGTCATGTAAGTGAAGTGAATATATCTTTTGTTCTTCTGGTTCAAACGCTGTGTATCATCAATCGGATCTCTTAAATCCCTTAGCATAGGGCTATCCACGTAAGTATCCGATTCGCCGAACAGTGCGCTCTGAAATGAACTTATCAAATAGCAGCTAGTGCTATTTAATAAGTTTATCACAACAATTAGGCTGTGGACTGAGTGTGTGGATTGAGTGTGTTGAGTGAGAGTTAAACGAATAAAAGAACAACTTAAATTCAATGTTCTATGTTTAAGTCTGGCTGACACTGACCTCGAATCATTTGAGAGACAGTGCCTTATAAGTACTAGTACATATGTGATTACGTATAGATAGGTACTTATTTAATCATCAGACTTCTATAGGTTAACTAATTTACTTTAAGTCTATGACATGCTAATGTTACCAACTGGTTATGTTAGCACCTGAACTAGTTTTGTTATAATATCCGTACGGATAACATTCCCCTCTTTTTGGTAAATTGAGTCTATCAATTTAGTATGTCCCCGCAATTATATGTCCTCCTCTTGCTGGCTCTTGTTGGCCTTTCCTATCATCATAGTTGTGTGCTGATCATCTCTGGTAGTTGTTATAGGTGAATGTTGTTTGCTCGATCTTCTAGCTATTTGTTCCTTTTCGCTTAGAAAGGTCATGGAGTTGCCTCTAATTGGGCTGATTGATTGCAGGAAATTCATAGCATCCTCGAATTCTTTGCTAAACGAATCTTCCGTTGTTCTTGGTTTATCAAGGATGTAACGCGAGTTTGTAGTTCTGGGTGGTGAGTTATCCGCTTGGACTGTTTCTCGTGCGTTTTCAGGCGTGTCACTATTCATGTGGACCTCAGTGCACAAGATATCTTCGGATGTTTCTGATAATGGTGATGGGAATGCCGCAGGGTCCTCGGCCACCGTGGTTGGTCTGTTGTCTAGTGCTGTGGGGTTATTTGATTCATTCGCGGTAGTCCCAGCATTGTTGGAATCATGTATTGTTGTCACCGTAATTAATGCCTCCGTATTGT